CTTCAAAGTCAACATTGTAGCTACAGTCCGCTGTAGTACCTGCACCACCATCACCACCAGCAGCAGTAAAAGCTCCTACAATCTCTACCCTTTCGCAGAGGTTATCTTACTCGAGCACCGCTATGGACATCTGCGAGATCAAAAATGAAGTGAGGAATGATACAGTGGCTATCCACGCTTGTCTTGTCAATCAGTGCAGACTCTGCATAGCAACCATTTCCCAGTACTTCCCCCGCTTCCCCATAAGCTGTTCGTGGGTTCCAATCTCCAATAACTTGCCATCCTGCAACACGCAAATCACATCCGCATTCTTGACGGTACTCAGGCGATGCGCCACCATGATCGTGGTCCGATCCTTTCTGATGGCATCCATGGCTTCTTGGACAATGGCCTCCGACTGGCTGTCCAGTGCCGACGTGGCCTCGTCAAGCAGCAGGATCTTCGGTTTTCGAAGAAAAGCCCGCGCAATGGCGATGCGTTGCTTCTGGCCTCCACTCAGCATGCTGCCCCCCGTGCCGACCAAGGTCGATAGTCCATCCCTTTTGATGCGATGAGTTCATGTGGAAAGAGATTCCTTCAAGCATTTTGGGGATTACTTACGGAAGGGACTGCACAAATTCAAGAATATTCGCTTGTTTACAAGCCTCCAGAATCTCGTGATCGGGAACCTCCTGCCCTGCCAGACCAACGGCGATATTATCTCTGATTGTGCCGGAGAAAATAATAGTTTCCTGGCTCACGAGCGAGATATCGAGACGGTACTCGTCCACATCCCGCAGTTTGATATCTTGCCCGTCGATGAGAATCCGGCCCTGGTCTGGATCGTAGAAGCGCTCGAGGAGTGAAACACATGTACTCTTTCCACTTCCACTTTGGCCGACCAGGGCCAGCGTTTGACCGGGCTCCACTGTGATGTGGAGATCGTCCAGGGCACGTCTCGTTGGTCGGGATGGGTAGGTGAATGAGACATGCTCGAATTCCACGCGACAAGCGCTAAAACTCTGCTGGATTTGATTCTTCTCTGTGCCTTCCTGGGCGGGCGGTGGCCTTGTCGGGACCACTTTATTGATTGTGGGCTTGAGGTCCATAATATCCTGAATCTCTCGGCTTGCATGCATGGCCTTACTTGCATCAGGGGCATACGTGAAAATAGACCCGGCGATTTGCGAGCCGGAGATCAGACTGACAAAGCAGATATAAACCTGGAACGTGGAGTACTCGTGGCTTGCGATTAGCGTGCCACCATACCAAAAGGCAAGGGCCGCGCAAAGATACACAATCGACGCAGATGCGGCATACAGGGCGGAGGCCAACAAAATGGAGCGAAGAGATTTCGCGGCTTGTTTTGCCAAAATACCTTCATAGTGGGCCAGAGCATGCTCCTCGAGCCCCAGCGACGCAACGGTTCGCACCGTACGAACCAGCTCTCCTGCGTATGCTGCCGATTCTATTCCACTCTGCCGGACCTTGCTGTCGAATGTTGATAGAACTTGCAAGCGCAGCCAGCCACAAGCCACCACGATCGGAATGGTTGCAGTGCAGACAAGAGCCAGCTTCCACCCGATGGCCAAAGCGAGTATAATGCCTGCAATGATCGTCGAGATGAAAGTCAGAATCCCGCCCAGGACGGGTCCCCCCATACCTGCAAGATCGTTGGTGCTCTTTGAAAGCACGCTGGAAAGCGCGCTGGGTGAGTGGCCCGGCACGTCGAAAAAAGCCATATCCTGCACCAAGATAGAGCGAAAGCACACCTCGCGAACTCGCCGGGCGAGTTTTTGGGTTGCGTACGATAAAGCAATCTCGACGCCCATCCAAAAGAGAAAGGTGGTACCGGTCAGCATGACATAAAGTCCAGACCAGAAATCGACTTCGGATCGGAGTTGTGAATACTGTGGAGGGGCGAAGCCGATCGCTGTCAGGATCTTCGCAAAGAATACCGATTGCCTGCGGGGAGCAACAAGGTTGGTCTCAGTGACAGTAAAGGGGAAGTGTAAACAGAAACTCACACTGGTATGGTTAAGCCCGCAAGTATTGCATTTGCGAGGCCAAAGAGCAGAACCTTCCAATCTCTCTTGCTGAGACGTGCAATGAATGCGATGGTTTGCAGTGCACTCAGTTTATGTGATTCCCTCTTTGTTCCTTCCTCTTGAGCGGCCGAAGATAGGGCAACCTCTTCCGTTCGTATGTCTTTCTCATCGACATATTCAGTATTGCCACCATAGGGGGAATCCTCATCATCATCAATGGACAAGCGTGTGCCGTCCGGGGTCTCGTGGTCATTAGTATCTCCAATCTGCTGCTTTTGTACCAAGGCCGCATAAGCCCCGTTTTGCGCAATGAGCGCATGGTGTGTACCCTCTTCCACAACCTTTCCGTGGTCAAGCACGATAATGTGGTCCGCGTTCTGAATCGTCGAGAGCCGGTGAGCAACTATGATGGTCGTCCGATGCTCGGCTGCCGCATCCAAAGCTTTCTGGACCATTGCCTCGGACTTGGAATCGAGAGCAGAGGTTGCCTCATCGAGAAGAAGAATTTTAGGATCTCTGATTAGGGCACGGGCTATGGCCACCCGCTGTCTCTGCCCTCCGGAAAGCTGAAGGCCCTTTTCTCCCACGTGGGTGTGGTAGCCGTCTGGCAAAGCGCTGATGAAGTCGTGGGCGTTGGCCTTTTTGGATGCTTGAAGAACCCTTTCATGCTTTTCGGACTCCGACAACTGACTGACAATGTCAGAACACCCGTAGAGAATATTTTCCAAGATTGTGGCGTTAAAAAGAACCGGCATTTGGTCCACGAGGGAGATCTGGCGTCGCAGCCAGCGAAGGTTGAGAGACTGAATATCACGTCCATCCAGCACTGGCTGAAGTGAGCAAAAGGTGGCTGCGACGGCACCGGGGACCACTTACAGACTGTTCCACTGGTCGGCTCGTAAAATCGTTCCACCAGTCCCAGGATACTGCTTTTTCCACTCCCTGACGAGCCTACAATGGCTGTCTTCTTCATTGCAGCACACCTCAGAGACACATCATTGAGGATATCAACGTCATCACGGGAGGGATAGATGAGGCCGACGCGGTCCAAGACAATGTCACCCACTACGGTCGAAGGCTCTTCGCCTTCCTTGATCAGTGGATCTTGCGGAGACCGCCTCGCGATCGACTTCAGAATTTCCCCCGTGATTGCAATCCCGGAGAGCAAGGCCTGTGCGGAAGGGGCAATTCTAATAATGGCAAAGGACCCGATCGTTACGGCCAATGTCGTCGCGCTCACTTCAGCAACGGACATCTGGCCTCGGGTCAGATAGATCGAGCCGGCCCAGAAAGCAAGAGCGTAGATCAGATTCGGCATGGCATTCATCCAAGCAATCATCCCTGCTACCATGTTTTCTGCCTTTCGGTCTGCCTTGGCGGCTTGCTCCAACACGGACAAATAACGCTGGGAGAGGAGGGTTTGGATGCCGAACGCGGTGACATGTTTGATCGCGGCGATGGCCTCCTCGGTAATCCCGGCAGCCTGAGTATACAGTTCCATCGCCCGCTTGTGATGTCTCACCATATACGCCCCACCCAAAGTCTCCGTCACGATCATGATGACAAAGAAAGGGCTGATGATCAACGCCGTCTTCCAATACATGATGAAGGCCACGACGAACGCAGCGCAGAATGTTGCGATAGCAGTCAGCATCACCGCCAGCTTGCTCGTGACCGCTTCCTGGACGGTTCCCATATCCGACATGATGCGACTCGTTATCTCGCCGGGGCCCAGAAGATCAAAGAACGCCATATTCTGGCGCAAGATGGCGGCGAGGTATGTAATCCGTAGGGCCCGGGCAATGCGTTCTCCTGTGTAATAGAAGCCCACCGTCGCGACGTAGGTGAAGACAAAAAGACCGATGCTGAGATAGACATAGTATAGACTAAATGTGGCGGTTTTGGAGCGCAGTTCGGAAGCCGGAACGGTTCCTGCGGCGAACCCATTGTAAACGCTGACGAGAAGACCGTAGATAACCTGCCGCATGAATTCAGTTACTGCATGAGGCCGCAAATTATGGAACCCTCCAACATGAACTGACCGGAACCAGAGGATTCAAGGCGCCCGCGAGGACAGCACATATCGAGCTAACAGACAAGACAATTCTATCCGAAACCGTCGCGTACGCAAAGACATTCTTGCGTTGTTTTGCCTCTCCACCAAGGCCGTTCAGCTGGCGGTCAAGGATCGCTCGCTGGCGCTCGTCCAGGCGGGCATCGTCCTTCTGTGAGACCATTTGTGGCGGCGTCGTACTCACTCGGCAAGAATATTTGGATCGACGATGAGCCCCGGCATGAATGCAGATATAAGCGAGAGGCGGGGGAGTCTAGGGACGAAATAGGATGGGTTGAGACAAAGAAAGGACCAGGATATTGGTGTGATTTCGCTTGCAGGGGTCTTTTGCAGGGGTTACCATTAGTGCCGGGGTATAATCCGGACCGAATACCATTTGATGCATCGGAGCCCCGACGGTGTCGACTATTATTCGTTCGCGTGCATTCGACGTGGTGGCATGACAGGACCGGCCGTGGCAAGGCTCTTCAGGAATTCCTTTTTTCTTTTCTTTTCTCTTTGGCCCTTTTTCTGTTTCTCTTCCTATCCTATCGAATCGAACATCTTACTCTGTACTTTCTCGCCTCGTACCATTCCAAGCCATCCAACATGTTGGTGGCCAGTGATTCATAGTATTCAAGTACAGTTGGTCTACTTATGAGAGTATAAGTGGGCGGAACCGGTGGCTACTGGCTATTGAGCCTTTGTATAATAGCTAGTGTGACCTTCTTTTGAGATTTCCTTCTATCAACATCCATGATCTTTCATTTAATGCGTTCTTCTCCCATCAAGCAGTGACGTTAGGCACTTAGCATCGCGTCTACAACGGCTGTTAGACGGACACGAGTCTTGCGTAGCAAAAGTTCTAGCCACCATCAATTCTGGGGAACTCCTTCACTCCCCAGACGCGTGTTGTCTGCTTAGAGAAAGGAATAGCGGACCTCTTCCCGGACCTGCCGCGCCAAATCCAAGGCTTCCTGTCGACCAGCCCTTGAAAAGACGTTGAAGTAGGCCAAAAAGGTATGACGGCCCGTGGTTGGGTGAGCAACCTTCTGGCCTCGCTTTACCAGAGTGGCACATCGACTGATGTGTTTGGCCAAGTCGGGTCTTCGGGCGAGCAAGTCGGCGCAGATGTCGTCCGTATCAAAGATGCCCTGGCTCGAGGGTGGGAAGTCTGCTGGAATGAAAACCATGATACAGGTATACTGTGGACCGCACCGGTACGGCTTCGATAATGCACGCGCCCTGTCCTTATCACCAACCCCCAGGACCACAGCCAACCCCCAGTAGTCAATGCCGTAGGTAGATTCAATGATATGCGAGCCGGTCATGCCAAGAGGGCGGGGGTTGATTTCAATGAGCCAAGCCGATGGTTCTGGGCGAGTCGCTTGGGGAGCGCGCGCCTGTAGGTCCATCATCCCGTTCCGCTCCTGGTATTCCATCGAGGAGTTCTCAACTCGCCCCTCCAGATGCATAACACCATTCCTAATCCCCAGGCTCAGGAGAGTGCCAACAAAGCTATTGATGAGCAGATCCAACTCCTTAGACGGCAGCGCGGAAGGGTACACGCTGTTCAGCTCGTGGAAATTGGTCAGTGATCCCACAGTGGGCCCATTGACGTCCGCGGACTTGGGTAAGTCGTCGCATATCTCGGCGAAAAGGACTTGACCGTCCAATAAGACAAGATTGACGTCCACTTCTGGCCCGTCGCAGTATGGCTCCATCACAAACTCGGTCCCGTGACGCGACGTATCGATCGACTTTATGGCTGCTGGGAATGCATCGGGGGACTCGACTCGGGACACTCCTTCCGAGCTCCAGCCATCGCAAGGCTTGACTATGAGAGGATATGGGAGCTCAACCTCCTTTGCTATTTTGAGCGCCTCATCAACATTAGATGCCAGATAGGCTTCATGACCGACATATTTACTTGTCAGGAACTTGTTCGTGGCGATGCGCAGTGAGTCAGGTGGCGCGGTATCAACTCCGATCTCGTGGGCGATTTGAGCAATGTAGTACCAGAACGAGTCCGCAAAGGTGACAATCCCATCCACCGGCTTGCCATAGGCCCTGATAGATGCAAGGATGTGGTCGCCAACATCTTCCTCAGGAGGATTCGTCAATCGGGTGGGAATGAAAGCCTCGCGCCATTGTGCCTGAGCAGGGTCTTCCAGCCAGTGTCCTGAATTCTCCAGCACGACCACGTTGATTCCAAGCTCCCTCGCCGCACGGTAAAAGCCAAGTCCGTCTTCGGGATGTGAGCTATTTGCGTCCACTAATACAAGCGTCTTGCGTCGTGGGGTTCCTGGCTGTATCCACGGAAACGAGAGTCGGTTTTCAAGGTCTGACTCGACAATCCGAAATAGCGCTTGATATCCGGCATCGGAAACATGCGTAGAGCCTTGACGGAGAATCAGGCCGGCTGCGGCGGCCGCAAAGTATGCCGTAAGGTCCAAGCGACCGGAAATGGCAACTTTCTTGCCACTGTAAGTCTGCAGCGGCTCTGCAAAAGAAAGTGCCGACTCGACATATTCAGAGTCTCGAAGTCGCAGTGGAATGATGTCTGAGCGAACGATATACCCACTGTGCAAGGGCACAATCAATTTTACTGCGCCCTTAGCCCCTGAAGCCGACGCGCGAAGCATTTGCAACAAGAACCCAAATGCTTTTGGCGAGCCAAGAGAGGCTGGTGTGATCTCCCTGGACGCATTATCCTGGTCGAGTTGAAAAATGCGAACGTCGTCCGGCTCATTCAGCAGGTCAGGCCCGTGATAGCCAGGCTCTTCCCAGAACAAAAAGTCGAGTGATTGCCAGGAGGACTCCGTGGGGGGAGAACTTAGGACGAACGAGTACTCCTGGAAGAGTCCTGTTTCTTCTTAGCGGGGCAAGATTCCAGTCATTCAGTCAATGATACCCTGCTTACCCTCGTTGTTCTTCGACCTGACTTGAAGTCTTTCCTGCGTTGCCATGGCGATATAATACCCTTCCACTTTCCTCTGTGTCTATCAAATCTGAGGCTAAACAAATACACTCACGTCGCTCGCGGAGATAAAAAAAAAGATGACAACGTTTCTTATCGCCGCATCAAACCGGCAGATGACCACATTATCATCACCTAGGACCGGCTGAAGCTCTCGGGCCCTAACTATCCTTCGGTTGTCCTTGGATGAGGATGAAAAGTTACATTTCTCGAATGGTCTGACCTTCAACGTCCGGCACAGAGCTCTTGCAGGTGTTTCAGTTCATAATCCGTCATGTATCACACCGAAGTGGAGTATTCGGAGCTCTAGCTCGACCGAAAATCGACGATGCCAAGCCCGAGTATGCGGTCCGAAATATAGGCCGCCGACAGTAATGCCACCATATGCTGCAACCAACGCTGATAGTGCGCACGATTTTGACCTACTTGGGTTTCATAATACACTTCAGATATCTGCGCAGGTTGCTGAGTACTCGACAAGTCAGCGAATAGTTAGTTCACCTTGCTTAGACAGTATACGGTTATGTTGCTCCCCTCACGCTGATCTCACCAGTTGATATCAGACTTAGGGCCGATCTTACACGCCGCCTCTTTTTGGACTCCATCATACCATGATTCCTCTACTATGGTATATTATATAGACATTGTGAGTAAGATCTACTGGAAATCACTAGTTTATAATCATAGACCCGAAAAATCATTCTTCATGCAAAGCGCCGAGAACTATTCGTACTCGCTCGATTTCCGCAGCAAGTAAAAGCCTAGTTGAGTGAAAGAATCAATTAGCGAACGCGCCAGGTACCCCATAAGAGTAGCAGACTTGCCGTAAGACTCATCGGGGTTCATCCACCAGTCAACAACGTCCCCTCCAGCCTCTCTGCAGATGTCCACCACCTTTGGCTTTGGCCACTTGCCACTCCGAATGGAGCGAATCGTTTCCCCTTTCCGGAACACGAAGGTCTCCCTACCGATCTTGAGGGTCAAGTCTCGCTCTGCCACGTAGAAGCTCTCATGCATCCATAGCTCGGGGTTCCATCGTCCGAGAAAACTCCAATTGCTCACATCGAACGCATCCGTGTCAAGCACATCGTTTGCATGCCGCAGCCCATTCAGAACAAATTTCTGATTCGACGGGCCCTCATACGCGCGTGCAATCTGCTCGTGGTCTTGACAACCGTCCAAGGCAATAATCATGGAGGCACCGGTGCTGAGAAAGCTCCGAATATATTCGGAGGCCTCTGGCGGGGGGAAGTTGGCCAAGCTATTTCCCAGCCACATCAACGATGTGTGTCCACTTCCTGGGTTGCGCTGCAGCCAGGCGGCGCAGTCTTCATACGTGGCGACTAGACCCTGGATTCTGATGCTCGACGTCGAAGCGGGGAAGATCGCTTGAAGATTGCGAAGGCCTCTTTGGAGGGCTGCGCGGTCCACATCGCAGGCAATGTAGTGAATGTACTTCCTCTGAGACTGCAGGATACGTAGTATCAGAGCTGTCTTCTTCATGTTCCTTCAGAGATACTCGATGAGCAAAACAATTACCCACTCGCGATGAAGACGGAAAGGTCTCGTCACTTACCCGGCACCCAATTCTACCAGTCGGTCTCCAGATGAGATTGAAGCTACGACATTATGAACTGCATTGCGTAACAAGGCCCACTCTTTGTTGGCAACGTAGTATTCGGCAGAGTCAAGGACTGCATTGAATAGCGACAAGCCCTGATCGTTCCAGAGCAAGAGAGATGGCAACTCTCGGTCTTCAGCCCTCAGCCCCTGGATAATGGAAGGCACTAGACTGCTGGCAGTAGCCTGGCGAAGGTTATGTACTTGTAGTCCACCATAGCGTACTCGGCGCGAAGAAGCATCCGGTTGGTAAGCCGCGTTTGCAAATGGCGATGGCCATCCACGCATGTCTTGAACTTGGCTCGACATAGTTGTCAAAGTGAGAGATCGATTGTTATGACCGTGCTGAAGGATGCCAAAAGTCTACCGGTCAAGAGACACAGTTTTGGTAGAGATCCGTCTGGAGGAACACTCGGCATTTATTCCCTGCCGGAGATCACCCCTTCTTCGGTCTACCAACAACCATACTGATAAGCAGTCGGGCTTATTATTCCGTATGCAGTCTAGTAATTGAATTTCACCCGTATCTGTATAGTCCACACATCCATTACTCGCCCTCGAAGTGTATGGACGGAACATGGATTGTCTACTATGTTTCATGATCGAACACCATATAGCTTCTCGTAGCATTCGGAGCCTCGCTAGCACGAATTTGAGGCGTTCGGTCTTTGATTTCGGTCCCAGGAGTCCGACATCCGCAGGGTCCGGGTGGCCGATTTATGGCTGACTGGGACAAAGGATCGCCCGGCAAGAAGGTTGCCTGATCGGAGCCCGGTTTTCTCTTTTCATTTGAGCTCAACCCTATAAAGTGCTTGAAAAGGTTCGAGGAATACGTGTCAGGTTTCAGATCAGAACAGAATTGACGACCACACAGCAAGAAACATGTCTATCCCTAACTCTTTCATCATTGTGGGGTCGGGTGTTTTTGGCCGTATGATGATTCCCCGCCTACCTGGTTTTGTCTTTCGATCCAGAGAGTCTTCCCTAACCCTCAAATAGTCTCCCTGGCCTATGCCCTAAGCTTGGACGATCAATTTGCCGACAAGAAGATCATCCTCGTGGATCGATGGAACTTCGAGCCACCCAATGCCACAGGCTCTGTCCACAACCCGGCGGCCGCAAATGCAGATACCAGTCGCGTGATCCGGCGTGACTATCCGCATGGTCCATACGCTTCCCTTGCCCTAGAGGCCATGAAGCGTTGGAGGGGGAAATTCGGCGAGAACAACCGATACGTAAACCAGAGACTGCTTTTCTCCGGGGAAGGCTCGTCACTGACGACACCGCCGAAAGAGCTGGAAACGGTGAATTATATCAAGAAAGCGTATGCCATCAGCTGTGAGTTGACGCCTGGGGGGCGAGACGCGGTCCAAGTGCTTGACTCGCTAGACGAAGTCCGAGCTTTGCTGGGTAACACTCCCAGCCAGCCGCCCTATCTTCCCGTGAATAAAGATCCGATGGCCCGGGATCTGAGAGGATACATCTCGAATGACTGCGGGTGGGCCGATGCAGGGGCCAGTATTGAGTGGTTGCGCCAGGAGGTTATCCGCCTGGGCCGTGTGGAGTGTGTAGTTGGTCAGGTAGAGAGCCTGGTTTACAGCGACGACCAACGAGAAGTGAAGGGAGTGAAATTCGTCGATGGGAAAGTTTTGACCGCCGAGCTGACGGTCATCGCTGCGGGTGCACGGTCATCGCAAATTCTCGGCATCCCCAAGCTTTGCGACGTTTATAGCGAGTTTGTGGCCTACATCCAGCTCACCGAAGAGGAGGCCCACGAGCTCCGCCGCAGACAATGGCCCATCCTCGTTAACTGTCACCGTGGCGTGTTCGCCGTCGGCCCGGATCACGACAATTGTCTGAAGTTTGGGCACTTTTCTTATAGCGGAATTGTCGACGTGCTGCGCGAAGCGAGCATTGAAGTACCAACTCGACCAGACGGATGGGAGGCTCAGCAGAAATATTGGAGTGATCCCAGATTCGGGTTTGGCGGAGAAGTCAAGGTTTCCGCGCTTGGCGACGTAGATGACTACGAGAATCCAGCCGCGCAGAGGGCGTTGGCAGATTATCGCCTTTTCCTACTGGAACTGCTTGGCCCTACTGGGCTCCAGGGAGTTGACACGCTGGGCCTGGACCAGTCTGACATTCTGTTGAACAACATTGCGAACCGGCCCTTCACCCGGGTTCGCAAGTGCTGGTATAATGATACCCCGGCTCTCGACTTTGTCGTTGACTACCATCCTTCGTATGGCAAGACCTTGTTCGTTGCGACTGGTGGTTGCGATCATGCCTTCAAATTCCTTCCCATCATTGGAGAAAAGATTCTCGCTCTCGTTCTGCGCAACCGCGGTAACAGCTCGGTATCACTGCCAGCAGGGGTGGAGCCCTCGCTGGAGGAGCTATCTGAACTCTGGAGGTTCCCCGTGGAACTACTACAGGACGACTAGACTCGAGGAGAAGAAAACAAAAATTAAAAAGAGTCATTGAGTGTCTACGGCAGGAACGATACTGCTATCCGCCTGTACGTGATAAGAGATAGATGCCTGTCGCTCTTTAGAACCTTTTATGTATAATCCCCAAAATTCCTTCTTCCGACCCTCTATTGTTCCCCTTTTCAGCATCAAGTCGTCGTGTGTACACGGTGCATCATTCAAAGATCAAGCTGTTTGAGTGCAGCCTGAATCTCCCGAATCAATCTTTTGGCAGCCACCTCTCTCTTTCCCTGGCAGTGCAAGAGGCTGTTTGTTTCATTGTGCTCGAATAGCGCGTCAATCAAACCAGCGGACAGTTTGTCTCCAAGCATGCCACATTTCACCGGATTTGACAGTTCCTCGTATCCTGCCGACCCGAACAATATGTTCTCAACCTTCTCGAGAAGGTTGTAGCTCACATGCATGAGACATTCCAGCTGAAGCGTGTGGTGACCATCAAGCTGGAACCCGTCGATACGGAGCCCACTTAATGTGGGCGGTATAGTCGGAGTAGGTCGAGTGACCGCGTGGAGGATCGATGTAAGAATGTCTTCGTATGCTTGGAGAATATAGGTGTAGCAGAAGAGGATCGACAACAAAGTCGACAAGTCGAGATACGAGGTCGGCGCTGTCGACGATGTCGAAGAGGATCTGACCGGGGACAAGGAGCAGGGCGTTGCGCCACTTCCCAGGCTTCGTCGTGCCTGCTGGGAGTCCGTCGGCGCGCCGTCGACCAGCCTGCTGCCCTCCGGCAGGACCGACCACAGTGACCTCGCCCGGTCTGCGCTCAAGTGCGAATCGGGGCGTGAATATTTGATACGCTTGAGGATCGAAAAAAATTCCTGACAGTGATGCAGTGTCCGCCCGATGGAGAGCCAACTGTCTTTGTATCCTCTCCGCGTCGACGCATCTTCAAGGCTGCATTTGTCGCGCAGTAACATCTCGTTGAATTGGGCGAGCTCTTGTATGCAAGATCTCGCTGACTCGGCGGGTTGCGTCGATGTGGGTGATGACCGCCTGGTATGGCCATAGGGGTAGTCGTCGCAGTCCGGGCTGGTCAGCTTTCGGGCTTTCAACGGAGCCGGGTTCGGAGGCACGATTGGGTCTGTGTACGCCTCAAGCTCAGGTGGACCGGAGTTCCATTCCTCCTGATGGTCTTGGTGTATCAGCTCGATCATCATGTTGTGCTCATGCATGTTGTCCATCGCTGGATCCCGACACAAGTTGAAATCCGATTCGATCAAGGGGGGCGTTTCCATACCCAAACCCTGTCCGTCCATCTTATGGTCTTGAAGATATGTCATCCATTCGTGGGACATGCTCGGCATTTCACATAGTGAATCAGTATCGTGGGACTGTCGTCTAGTCTGCAGACCACCGTGTGCGGCGACTGAATCGCTTCGCTGATGGTTGAATGATAGGCTGTTTTGGTGTAGCTTTGGGGCAGCGGTGACGAGACTGTTAGGAGGAGAAAAGACTGGGCCACTGTTGTGATAGGCCAACGAAGACCTTTGCAACGCTGGCTGTGTGGCAGTCATCTGCTCCTTGACGTTCGAGGCAGCTCTCCGCGGGGCAGGCCTAACGCTATAACATTCAACTTTCGCCCTCCTGCACCTATCACATGGTATCTCATTGCGTAGGAGGCGACTACTGGAATTTGGGATTGGCTTGCCTGCACCCACACATCGCAGCTTTTGGCCACGGCATCGGTCACAAGCACCGTGTCGGCTGTGCTTGTCGTCCATAATCCGCAGGGTTTGCGAGGGTACTTTCAGAACGTTACAAAAAACAAGCTGTACTCTGCTGCAGGTTTTACCAGGGGGCTGCGAGCGCTTAAAAGTCTGAGCTACTTTGGGGGCCAAAATTGTGAAATAGCAGGTCTGAGGTGCTCGCCAGTAATGGCGACAAATGGGATATGATGGCGTACTCCTGGGTGCCCTCGGAGAATGGTGGTCTACGTCGGAACAAGCCCCAACCCATGCAGAACACCAGTAAGAACAAGCCGATGATTTAAACGCCGGGAGCCTGCAAAGCTAGGAGCAATCAGACCCGCAAGCTACCCAGAGTAGTCGTGCCTTCTTCTCTGTCATTGGGCCGGCAGTCGGTGATAATACTTTTGCTGAGTAAGATTGCGCGTCCAAGGGTGCGAGTGACTACAGGCCAGCTTAGCTTTCGGAAAAGCTGAGGTAGAGTAACCTGTAATCTGAGGGTGCGACTATGGGTACGCGAGGTGGCCTCATCCGCTCGCTAGCCTACCGATGGCATCGCACCTGATACCAAATTCAGCGATAGGCCAGCTGCATCTTACTAGATATAATCCTTTAAGCATTCTAACTACGATTTTACTAGTGTAGATCATCTACCTAAATACTCCAATATACGTTATTTTATGTGACAGAAATGTAACCGAGCACCCTGTGGGCCTTGCCTGTTACTTGATACTATGATTTATCTTCCTGCCCACTCTCTCCTAGAAATTACTGTGCTGCTAAAATAGATGAATTAGTTAGTCCCTAGCTTATCTTCATGTGATCTTATGAAAGGCTTGCGGGAGTAAGCGAAAGCTCCCTATCTTCTGGTCCGCAGCCGTCCTGCAGGTAGGATTGCTCTAATTCAATAGCCTCCTAATCGCAGCCCTCCTACTAAGACCATTGATGCTAGGTCCGCCAATTAGCAGCATGGTTTCCATACTAGTGGTCCCATAATGATACTGAGCGTATGCTTTCCGGCATGGTAATCCATTTGGCTGGCATGGCAGGATAGGTAAAGGGATATTTTTGAGGCTGATAGGCACATGATGATTTATACACAGATAAGAGCGAACAAAATAATGTCTTGGAACAAGGTCTGATTTTATGTACAGCACACTTATGCTTAGATGCGGTAATGACAAGAGGATGGTTGCATATCAAGAGATAAACATAATAGTAGGTCAGTTCACAAAGAATCCAATGTAGAGTGATAACTTTATTACCCCTGGGCCATATTTGAGCCGCAACTACAAGATAGCGGCACAGTAGGTAATAAGAATAATAGCAAGTTCATAAAGAACTAATGTAGAGTGTTCACTCGGTTACCCCTGGCCCATATCTCAAGTCAAGTAGTGAGGACAATAGTCAAGTAGTAATATTAAAGTGAGGGGTAACAGCCATATTGGAATATCTAGGTGTCCATGTCCCAAGCAATGAGGATGCCAGAACATCAAATGTTTAGACAAAATGGGTGAGAATTATAAATGCACCACGGACATGTTTGATGTTATATTTCAGGGAAACTTCTTAATATTCGCTTCAAGATTCAAGTCCGCTGTTTGACGGTTTGATTGGGTGGGGAATTAGTTGTCATACGACCCCAAATCAGTTGGATATCTGACAAAGGCAAGACCTCGCTCTTTGAATTCCTTACTCAGGTTCCCACATGTCATATCATAAACTGAATGTGTTTTCCTGGCCCCATCTCCACTTTTGCCCCTGCCGTCATGAAGCATGAAGAGAGGGGTGGCCACTTTTTGCCCTGGCTGGATCAGGGTTGGGTTCGGCGGGGAGCATTATTAGAATATGAAGAACAACGGGGAAGGCGAAAGAAAAAGGGAAAGGGGAATAGCAGCCAAGAGGCTAAACAGATAGATGTCAATGTCACCTTCCTTTCTAATCAGTTAATAAAAGGCTGAGCGGGATCCGAACCAATTAGGGTAGAACGTTGGCGACCGTTACAGCCAGCCATTTTCAGATGTTGGCCTGTCTGTCAACATGAGTCTATGCGGTCCTTTAATACCAATCCTGGGTGGTAAGATGGCGAGACTTTGGATGGAGAATCTTAGACTGCAATCACTCTGCCACCAGTCTCCGCTCTATTATCATAGATTGAAAATCATTTAAAAAATATTCCCAACAGACCCAACTTCCATAACGATGAAGTTTACATCTGGAAGGAGATGAAAAGTACGAGTTTTGGTCCTAGCCTCGGGGCTGGGTCGGCCCGAACCCCCACAACACACACTCGTCGTTTAGCGAGAGTGACTTTGTGGAGGAAGGTTTATGCTTCCTCAGCCTTCCTTGTAAGATTACCTTGGAACCATCACAGCCAGTGTAAGGTACGGCGGCTGGGCGTCCAAGGTCAGCGGTCCAGATGGGGATTGAGATTCCAGATTCTGCCCAGTCAGAAGGGGTTACAATAATTTCTCACCTCTTCTTAGGGCCAATGCAGAAGTAGATGCTGGGTATTTCACTGCATTGCGAAGTGTCATTAGCTTAAACCGGCATCCGCATGCAGAGCAGATGTCATTTAGCCCTCTAAATAAGTTGAGGTACCCTACTTTTGCTGTGTGTGCTGTGCTTAGAGTGCCTTAAGGATTATTAGAATGGGCCTCTTTAGTGAAAGGCTCCATGGCACCACACATAGTCTCCACCTGTGTCTATTGCAGGCGAAATAGAAACGGCTAACTAAAAGCAGCAGAGTCGCCGCTTCCTAAGTAATTTGATTGCACTGTAACCCCTTTAGATGAATCAATCAATCATGGTAAACATGATGGAACAGCGGAGTCCACCCTTGACGGGTGTCTATCCGACTGGTCGCCAGAGAGATCAGTACCGCAATTTAAGGATCAATGGCTAGATGTGACTGCAGATCCTTTGAGCGATAACAACTTTTAAATCTTCTTTTAATCCCCATATTGGAAGGAACCCATGGGTCTTAGATTAGCAGCGGAGAAATAGCTGTCAGCCGTTACTCTGTTAACAAGGTGGATCGATATCCGTTGATTATCATACTGCTTCCAGGCTACTACCATTGCCAAAGGACTGCCGATCAGCCTTGGAGTCCAGGATTCACAATGGCGCTGCGGCGGTCGCACGCGCCTACCAATTAGAGTCTCGTTTTTTGGTTTATGATAAACTAGGCTCAAGAGGAGTTACGCTCCCAGATCAAGGGCTCATCATTGGCTGGTTCCATGCTGCTCTAGGTGGGGGTTCCTTGACCATGCCTCTCCTCCGAACCAATCCACCGAGCCGATGGACTGAATCAGTTAGGGAGGGTCAGCCATGAGAAGGAAATACCTTCCCATTTCATGATGAACTCCACATGGAGGGCCAGTGGAAGGCTGGACGGAGATCATGTTCTCATGCACTCCACTATGCCATGGAGGCTAGCTCCTGGACATCAATGTCAAAGACACCGATGAGATTGGCAATCAGGACAAAGAGATGGGAGTGGACTGTCTGCTGGGCGGATAGTCCGGAAGTAGGTCTTACCTGGAAAGATGTGTGGTGGGAGGCCTGGAGTGGATTTACCAACATCTTCGTTAGCAAATAATAACTGCTCATTGGTCTTAGGGGAAAGCGTCTGGCACTACGGAGGCGTGCACCAAAAGTGTTGACCCCTGCTAGTAAGCTTGGCTGTATCCTGCTGACGCAGCCCCCTAGTAATTCATATGGCAACGCATCCAGAAGGAAAAATATTCAAATAAATCGAGTCCCAGACATACAATTAGAGTTGCAATAACTGAACCACTAAAATCAAATCCGACCCTTACCAAACTTAAAGCAGTTTAGGTTTAGTCCCTAGCCTAGGGAATGACACCGGTTTTAGTTTCCCTAAGTTAAGTTAAAACTATTAGTTGAGGTTTTTGAGGTTTTATCTACCTAGGTTAACTAGTTAACTAACCCTCCCCATTTTACTTAGTAATCACTAATTTCAAGGATCTCTCTAGAAATATTAATATTACTAGATAGCCTAGTATCTAGTCTATCTAAATTCAAGATATTACTTCAAAATATCTAGTGGTTAGTGAGATATAAGGGAATTATTATTTTCATTATAGGTTAGTAGTCAATACCTCGGCAGATTTGTTTCCAGCTACCTTCTTGGCGACCCTCCTGACCCCCGGCATACCGAGTGAGAATCTGATATTCACATCTCTATTCTCTGAACATCATCATTACTCATCAGCAAGATCGCCATGAGCGCTAAAGAATTCCTCGCCGACGTCAAAAACGGCGTGGTGCCGGTGGACAGCCACGATAAAGTGTTACGGATAGCATTCATCTACATGGACGAGGGACTGTGGCAAGACAACGGCGTCTTCGATGTCGTCGAGAAGCTGCATGCGCACGGGTGGTCATTCGGCGAGGGCGAGTTGAGGTTTAACCGGTAAGTTACTAGTACAATCCCCATTAATAGCCACTGTACCACGACAACGAAGACTGATCATCACAATCACAGCACCCTGGACATATTCTACCTCGTCCAAATCGGAGCGGGCATCAACCGCTCCGACCAAATGGATGGTGACTTCCCCTCCCCCGATGACTTCGATACTTTCTACACAACACACCACGCGCTCCTGAACCCCTCCGCCTGGCGCTCTTATTACTCCGAGCCGTTCCTAAAGCAGCGCACCACAGCGCGCTTCTACCGCCTACCTGACCTGCAAGACTTACCTGACACCGATTTCCCGCTGGGGCAGCCGCGCAAGCGTCCCCACCCCGGCGGTGGGGTACATGCCACGAAACTCCCCCGCTGGGCGTATACCGTGTCGCGCACGCGCCGCAGGCAGCCCTTGCTTCCGCTTGAGACTTTCACGGAGTTAGCGCTTAGCACGCTTAAGACGACTATTACGCGCCTACGCGCGGTCTACCCTAGTGTTCCGCCCTACTCGGAGACACAGGCGCGCTTCTGGTTTGAGTATATGAATTTCGGTTCCCCTGCGGCCAGGGCGGTTTCCCGGGAATCGTGGGAGCCAAACGCCTTTGGGGTACTTGCCGCGCAGGGAGCGTATGATGTATACGCATGGGAAGAGAAGTATTCTGCGCAGGTGTGGGAGGCGAGCTGGGAAAGGAAGGGGGTGGTTGAGCCGGATGTGGAGGATGGCGTGTGGAAGAGTGAGGTGATGTGGTGTGGGTGGCCGGATGGCGGGATAGGGGCCGTGGCATGGTGGAGGGGGTGGGAGGGGGAGGTTGGGGGTGAGGAGGAGGTGGAGTTCTTGGCTGCTGTTGCGGTGGAGGAGACAGTAGGCGTAGAGCTGGGTGAGTTGGACTTTGCGGTGCGGTCGCATGTGTTGTTTGGGGTAATGCGGGCTGCGGTTAAGGAAGGGCAGCAGAGGGAAGATTTTCTGAAGGAGCTGGAGAGGGGGATGGTGCGGAGCGGGAGGATCGGGGAGGACAGGGCAAAAGTGTGGCTGAGGGAGGCTTTGGGGGTTGTCGAGCCGTATGTGAGGATATGGGAGGGGGTATGGCCGGATGCAGAGGAGTGGGCGGAGGTGCTTCGGCGGATCCTGGTGGACAATGGCCAGCTCTTTGCAAGGTGGAAGGTTTCGCCGCATATGAAGGAGTTCAATTTCGAGCTGGGTCCGAGGAAGTTGGAGTAGTAGGCTTGCTTCTATTCGAATATTCGGCGCTGAAGTTGATGGTTTTCTGCATATTTCAAGTACTTACTTCCTTTGAATGCTCCTCGAAGTACGCAAAGGCTGACGGTCTTTTCACCTACTAGTCTAGAGGGAAGATCATAAGGTTCTCGGAGAACACTAGATCATCCTGGCACGAGGAAGCTTGCTTTGTCTCATACTTTATGCCTCCTTCTCTGCGTGCTTGTTCCACTGGCTAGGTTTTTGTTCAGGGACAGTCCTTCATCACCGTAGAAAGTTAAAGACCTGATATTCGGTTAGGGTATCCCTCAGGCAGTAAGGCGCAAAGTCATCATCGCAACAACTGCCCAGAAGGACTTCTGGTTGAATACAGAGACTTTCAAGAAGTTTGAATCCTTGCATAGATCCAAAGTGTGAAATATTGGCCCTATGGGTGGGTGGGGCAAATCCTGTGCAATCCCAATAGATATTCAAATGCTTGATACAATCTTCGCATTGATGTACATAGTTCCACAGGTGGGCGTTGGAGATCTGCTCACTATTTAAGACCAGTCGCAGTCATTCAGATAGAACAATAACTTGGTTAATCTCTTTGATAGAGTGAGGAGTGCCATTTTGTCCGGAACGGAAGGTAAGGAGTCATAATGGACAAGGGTTAGATCCATGATACTTGATGTTTTAATACTGTCTCTAAAACGATCTGAAGCTCTGAGTGATTCGAAATCAGACTGATAAACTCTGAAAGTTTGGCAGTTGGAATACAGGCCACAGATGGTTGAGCTTGAGCTTGTAATTATCATTAGCCAAAAAATCCCTGCGGTGGTTCCAAGCACTTGCAAGATGGGCTTTGCGGAGTCTATGCAGAGGAGGGCAGTTATTCAGATGTTGGTGTCGTCAACTTTCAGCCACCTTTCAAAGCACTTCGGTGAAGAAAAAGTTTGTTTCTGGGAGGTGGGCATACAGCGTCTTCAATTTCGTAGATTCGTTAAAAGCAGGGCCATCAATGACCTCAGGTCTGCCTTCTGAGCGGCTTGCAGCATACTGGTTTCTCTGAGTGGAGACCCCTTAATTGAATTGAGCTCTGGATCAAGTCAAGTCGGCTGCCGACAGGACAAGACGACTGCGTCCATGAACTAGTAAGCGTCCAACATTGAAGGACGTTTAGCGATGGTATGAGGTGTGGTTCCAGAAAAATGGTTGCTTTATCGATGACTCGGAAAGGCCCCACGCAGAGTTATCATTCAGGCGCGGGCAGGTGTAGATTCCATAGCGACTTTCTGCAGTTCAAGTACATCAACACGCAGTATCTCTCCCAAAGCTGCTCCAAAACTTTGTTCAGATGCATTATCCAATCTGCTCATATGACTGAAGAGTTAGTGATAAAGTGTTGGCTAAAATATTACATAAATCACCTATTAATATAGAGGACCAGGATGGAGGCCCTTATAGAGAAGATATTCCTACTAATAGCAGTAAAGGTACAGGAGGCAGAAGAGCACTAGTTACAGCACGAATGATGGATGGCGCCTTGCATCGCGCGAGGGTCACCCCTGTATGGTCACCTTGCTCAGCCCTGCCACGGACCCGCTCACCCGAGTCGCGCGAGCTCAGGGCGGCACTGCTCACCTACTAAAACAAGAAGGGCAATGGCCTTGGTGGCTGTAGTTTTCTGCTCAGTAGGCGTGGAGACAGATTTCATTGAAGTTAATTCGCCAAACACTCTAGGTGCGGTAAATAAATAGCACTTAAGATATGACGATAAAAGTACTGGTAACCCTCCAAGGCTGATTGAAGAGGCTGAGCTATCTAGACCATGTAAAGGGGCTGTGAATCATGTCTAATGCTAGGAGAACCTAGTAGTAGGCCCAATCAAGCATTGAGTCCATGACCAAGTCACTGCCATTCTAGTCTTTTGCTACAGTCTCTCTCAAGCTCAGCCCTGTTAAACCTGATATCAGTGCATCTATGTCCTTATGAAATAAACTTAAACTATTGCCGAAAAATCATTCATATTGGTACAGGGGAATCGAATTACAAGGCTGAGATGACAAATGAGACTAAACAATAATACAAAAGTAGTAACCTTTATGGATGTTGGATTCATTAATGTACAGTACAGTACAGTCACACCTCAGAAGCTGGCCAATTCCAATTTAAGAACACGCGTAAGTACTTTAGTTATCTAACACCATGGTGAAAATACGAAGTTGCGGTTCTTTTACTGGCTAGCAAAGAGTGATGTGCATGCAAGGCTGTCACAATCGAGGCCAGGCGGAAAGCAAACAGGGAACAACGCATGCCCTGTGGCGACATAGCCTCCACCGTTGAACACGTCAATATAAAGTATCAATCATTCTAATGGCAGACTTCCCGGAACTGCGAGACTCGAACATTTTCCCCCGTGTCTTCGGGTCGTTATCGAATTCGCGTCCAACATTGGCATGTCGCTGGGAAGCATCAAGGCAGCCGTTGTCAACGGCATAAGCGAAGCGACTGCATGCCTGGTCAATTTCAATCTAGACTTCTCCCTGATCAAAATCGAAGCGCCTGAAGAATTCTCACCAGTAGGGGCTGCGCTTTCCTCCCTCCGGCGCGAGTCCGCCGAGAGTGGACTTGTACATACCACAGCGCGGAAACTGGGCGCGCTATTCGATCCTCTGCTCCCAGATACCCCACAGTTAATCAAGGCCTATGGCTCTCGAGCGTCGGAAATCGTCACCAAGTCAGAAGCAGGAAATAAACACACCAATTACGGAGTCTTCGAGAGCCAAGTGGGTGTCGATGCAACAAGCATCTGGGCTTCCGCAACCTCGGGAGCGGGTGCTATCAAAGTCCACCTTTTGGCCTGCATCCTCGCGCGCATGTGGGAGCCCGGCGAGGCCACTGCGATCTGGGACGAGATTGTGAATGTGCAAAAGCAAGACGTGATGAACAGGTATAATGAAGGGGGCAGGGTGGATATGGTGTCTTGGGTCGTGGCCAAGCAACAGATCAGCCGGAAGGAGCTGCGTGACTGGGACGCCAGCGCGCGGGCGTGGCTCTGTGCCGCCGATAAAATCAAGGCAGCTCAGCAGAATCAATTTCTGTTGGCCATTGACAGATTTGATCTGAGAGTGGCTAGCCGCTCCCGCGCGTACGACAGCGTCATCGAGGTGTGGAAGGAAACCCTGGTGGGGGTGGAATTGCTGGTCAATGGCTCGTCCCAGGAACTCCGCAGTGTGAATCTGCTGCTGGGACTGTCTGCCTTGCATCTCTACCCGGACCTGAATGTCCTCACCAAGAGAGACCCACTGGTCCGACAGAACGATGACCTGGTCCCTGGGATTTTGACTATCGGGCTCTCCAGAAACAGTACCAACGGCGACGCAGGCATCCGATGGTCCCTGCCCCTTGCGCATCTACGGTATTACGGTGACCCTGTCTACCGGACACGGCTCGCGCGTGTTGAGGGATCCAGGCTAACGCTCGCCCAATTTCGTCAGTTCATCCTGGGCTGCGTTATCGGCGGTTGGAACGTTGATGCACGTCAAACGCAGGTCGCGTTGCAGTGGATTATTGATCTAGATCAGCAGCTCAATGCAGCCATTATGGAGCACTTTAAAAAGATTTCCCTGATTGACTTGCACAAGTCCTGGCTTTCTATTCTGGCGGAAGCCGCTCAAGACTACCTGTATTCGGATGACCTGGATCGCAAGGTCTACGCGAGGTTGCTCAATCTCGGCAGGCGCAAGGCCGGGCTTCTGGGAAAGCCGGATCGGCCATTCTTCGCACTCGGGGAACCGGATATCTTCGTGGAACTGCCTACACACGTCGAGGAAAGAATCCTATGTCTGCGGAATATCGCTCAAACCACCCCCTTTGAAGCCGGGGATCTACTCATCAGGTATCGCCCCGCGCCGGCAGCGGATTATGAGTATACGACGGCAATTCCACGTCCCAAACGACAGTTCCAAAACATGGAGGCTGATATCGAGCCCTTGGGCCATACCCGTTGGTTGAACATCAATCCTCAAAGCTGCGATCAACGGCAAATTAAAAGAGCGGCCCATGGTCACTATTACTACAGCCCCGACAACGGGGGAAGTCGAGCTTCTGGGAGAGAAAAAATTCGCCCTCTCGACTGCGAATTGATCCGGACCTTCAGGGTGGCGGGAGAAACGACAATCCACTGGGACACACCCGGGGCTGCAGGTCGCTTAAACACCTTCAAATACTGGATTGGGGACGAAGACGAAGTAGCTCTGTTCTGTGCGCAGGACACCATCTCTCCGCCTCAACTGAGGTCTGTCCCGTTGTCTGAGTTGACTCGGTTCTTCGAAACGGCGAAACCAATGGCTTTAGACTTGCTCTTCGCCTTTGATAAAGCTCTGCAGCGGATGGGAGACTCGTATCTCGCCTCACTTCGAGCGGTAGCCAGCATGATGGATCTTTACAAGATGCTTCCAGGAGCAACAATTGACATTAAAGTGATTGACAGTCACCTTCCGTCTACAAGGTGGGTGGAGTCTCTGACTCTGGCGGAGTCCGGAAGACCTCATCAGAGCAAACCCAATATCATCGAATTCGAGCCAGAATCTTCGGAGCCAGAGACAGAGACAGAGACAGAAAGGGAGCCCGCAAAGGAAGGATTGGCAGCCAACAGGTTCTATTCTGCGATCCGCAGATCAAACGATCAATATCACAGCCAGCATTCGCAAGCCGATCCATCAGACATCCCGGAGCAGGCAAGTGATCTTTTTGAGGCTCAGATGGATATGATCAATCTTGCAAATAACGCCCCTGGCATAATGGAGGACGAGTTCGATCCGACAGACGATCTTTCACGGGACAAGCCTAAGCGCACCATCCACGCTTCTCAGTTTAGTCTTCATTTCGGGAGGCTTCTAGCCCCGTTCACAATGACCCGCAGTGAGGCATTCGCATGCATTATTTTGCTCGAGTCTGGGAGATACGACGTTCCGCCACAGAATCTGACGGCAGTTATGGCCATTTCAAGCAATGATTCCCTTTTCATTGCTGCGCCCATGCTCTGTAGCCCCGCCGATTCCCCCCCCGCTCATGAGATCCACCATGTCACCGGAAACATCGGGCAAGGGGGAATGGCCTTACTGATACCACCGGCTGAGCCTCGCGTCCGAAAAAGCACTAATGAAAGCTGGCATGTGTGCAATCATGATCCATGGGACGGGAAGTATACGGACCACTTCGGCGGGACTTCCTTGCACCTCTCCTACACCGGCTACCACATCCCTCTGGATGTGGGTACACGCGGAGAACAGGATTGGGAGATATATTTGTTGGAGTCGGTCGTCAGTGTGCATGAACAGGGCGAGTGGGTCGCTGATCTTGACATCCTCAAGGCTCTTCAAAGTCCGCTCCTGCTGAGAATTCCTCCAGGGCAGGAGCAGGTGTCTCCAGAGGACGAGAAGAAGGGCGTCTGCAGCAGCCACACATCTCTCCTAGGGCAAGAGCCTGTAAGTCGTGTCGGGCCTATTGAGCTGGTTGCTATTCAGAATTGGGCCGAATATCTCCTGCGCCCCGATCTGCCGTCCATTGTGGTGGCAAGTTCCAATTGGCAGGCGCAGCTCGCAGCGGCCGCCATTACCATCGCTCAAGGTAACGCAGCTTACATTGTCAATCAAGATGCCTGTTGTTATTGCGTCTGTGAAGCCGTCCGAAAGGCGCAGAAACCAGGGTCCGTTGTATGCATTTCTTGACACACGCACTTGAAATTACGTTTTGGATTATCGGCGAACTATATATTGAGCCACTATCTTTGCCTTTCTCGCAGTGCATATAAATATAAGGTCTCTTTCCAGTCATCTGATATAAGTGTCCTTGAGGTAATACCTAAGACAACTTTCGGACAGCAGGGTGAACTTGAGGTTTAAGTAACGAAAGAAGGACACCTGAGTCCTTACACCAGCTATCAAGCTTGTTGCTGCAGACGAAGCGAGGTGATGCGGCAAGGAGAAGATGGTCTCAGTCTGGACCTCAAGCACTAGAGCATCGATTCGCTTACTTATGGGGCGTCCGCTCGTCCGCTCGCAAACGGGGCAAGATCATTGATTCCGGATCATTGACCGAGAAGTATGTTTAGACATCGTCAGCTTCTGAAGGTTAGTCAAAGTAACAGGAACAGACTAACCATCATATGTAGGCACTTCCATCTCCAACTGCTTCAGGAATTGGTGCTATTTTCTTAGATGTTTGGAGGTGATATCGCTGCACATAGTCAAAATTGGCAAGGTCACATCCAGCTCGACTATCCAACTCAACATGGGGTCGAATTAAGCTGTTAACGAAAGCTGGAACGGGACTTGACAAACTATCCCTCCAGCTGGCCATCAAGTTGGAGACGTAATGGTTAGTTCCACTCATCCTCTTTTTCCGTCTTTCTCGCCTTCAATTCAATACTCTGAGTGGTGCTGGAGAAAGACTTACGATCTTTCGACGCCAAGGACGAATTTGTCGTTGGCTTTTTGTTAGGACATTTAGGCGCATACATTTAGGCGCAGAATGATATTCACTGTGACAGGTATTCAGCCACTCGTCTCGGTTTTGGTGGTAAACGCAAGGGTAAAGGTCCAATAGTAGAAATTTCTTTAGATAAAGCTCTTCAGGGTGTGCTGATCCCCTATCGGGATTGACTATGATGTGTTGCTCAAGCAGGATGTCACTTCATATCTGATTAGGCAGCCGTAGACTGAGAATATTATACATGAAGAAGGAATCGCTGCAGTTGAATACAAGCCAAGTGTTGATCTGCTAGCTTTACCAGGAATGCAAGACCAGGGAAGAGTCCCGTCCTGTCCTGCTGCTACAGCATACACGCCCCAAGCTTCGACTCCAACACACTCTCCGCCATACTGTGATTTTAGACACCGACACAGACGTAGTACCCCAGCCACAGATTACTGCAAGCTGCATCAACCTGTGTATTCCACGCGCGGAACTGCTCAAAGATGATACCCGCATTTGTGTAGATGGACCAGCAGCTGTCACCACTCTGAATCAGGTGGAAGCTCTTGCAGTTGTTGACAATGCCAGGCATTTGAGGTGTTGGACCGGAGGGCTCAGTTGGTTTCGGTGGTTGCGATGTGGTTGCGCCGGGGATATGAACGCAGACATAGTAGTCCAGCCAGAGGTTTGTGCAGTCTGTTATCCAGGGAGGCGGTTGTTAGATTATGGTGTGAACAAGGTGGAGGGAGAATGGAAGGGGGGACAAGTACTATCATCGATCCCGGTATTCCAGCTCTTAAACTGTGTCGTGGAAATACCGTGGGCTTTGGTAATGCTGTCGCACGTGTCACCGGACGAGACCTTATAGAACTCGTCGCAGTTGTCGACGATGCCGGGCAGTTTAGGGGATGGACCCGAGCCCGGGTCTTCGGTTGGCTCGGGGGCTCCGGGGGCGGTGGTGCTAGACGTTGTCCTGGTGAGCGTGGTGCCTGGGTCATCGTCCAGTGATGGTGCCGATCACGCAGTACAACTTGCTCGTACTGAGACCTAGGCAGATGATACCAGTGTTCAGCTGCTGGAGACCATCAACAAACAGTCACCAAGTACTGGCAAAGCTCTCACAGGTATCGCCCTTGGCAGCACTTGTGGTAAAGGAGCGCTCAACGGCGCGGCGGGAGAGCGCACTTGCTAGGCCTGGGACAAGCCCAGTAGCGGCGAGGTGTTTGGGCTGCATTCTCCTGAATGTGGACCTTGAGTCTCTCAGCCGGGGGCTAATGTATAAGCAATCGATAATTGCCTACGGAGTAAAGAGTGATTTTACCTAATCTAATAAAACCGTAAAAACCATAACTAATGGTTTTAACTAAACTTAAATGAGTTTTACAGTTTTACCTAGGGGAAACTAAAACTAGTATGATTCCCTAGGCTAGGGACCAAACCTAAACTACTGCAAGTTCAGTGAGGGTTGGATTTGATTTCAGTAGTTCAGTTATGCAACTCTATGCTTTCTATAAGATCTATAGGAGAGCTATCCTCACAGTTAAATCCAGTGGACTAAAACCAGCATATTGTCTCACATTCATTCCTGATGCTAGTCCAATGCTGACTCAGACCCCTCCAGCCGATAGTTACTTTGGGAAAACAAAGGCCATATACTTCAGATAAAAACGCACTGTTGGTGCAACTGAAGGAAAGAGAGGGTATGCTATGGGCAGAGATTACTAATACTGTGCACTTCCCTGGATGACGCATATCATCCCTCTAAGTCCACTACTCAACCAAATTACGCCACAAGTCAGCCACTCAAGCTGAAAGGCTACGAAGACACCAAATAAGAGGCACTGTCTAAACTTGACAGTGCCTAGGCTAAAGCCAGTCCAGCCAAAAGAGGCTAACAAGCGTATCCAGTTTATTTATGTTCCAATCATCAACCCTCCTTCCTTCTGCTTGATCTCGAGATATTAGTCAAAGCCTAGTTTGTTTGATTGTTCAATACCTGGCACAGACCCTCCCCTTGGGGTGGCTACTTTTGGCTCGATGGCGGAATCAAAGTCGCATTCTCTGATATAGGAAGGAATGACCAAGTTGGGATCAGCCAAGACGCGGACCATTTCCATCGAATCTAACTCGCCCTTGTCGATATATGATGTCCTCGCGTTTCCAAGATCGTCAGAACTCTCGGGAAAATCAATGTCATGGTCAAAGGAATCATCGTAGAGTACGCTGGCCTCGTCGATCACCTGGCGGCTCTGAGGGCAGAATGCAGGCAGACGCTGGAGGAAGACAACAAACCAATGTCAACCGAGCCCTACCACTAGTCAATCAGGGGCGCAGAAAATCGGCCGCAGTGCGGCCGTTCACGAACTAGGGACTCTTAAGATATACATAACTTTCGGCAATCAGAAAGTCGTGTCCGACGTATCAAAAATTTGGTTAACTCTATCCCAGGTGCGTCAGGCTCCAACGTGCGTTATGTGATTACTATGCCATCATTATGAAGCTATGTATCAAGATCATTAAAGTCTTATGACAGACTGCTATTACACAAACACTAACAGCCATCTTCATTCCCTTTGAGTCTGAGTTCAAATCTTCACTATGTGACGGCCTGTCACCATCTCTCATAACCGTCCTTCGTCACCTCGCTTACCTCTGAGCTTTCTGCCTCAGCTGACCGCTTGCCACTTCTGGATGTTTGACCTATTTGCACTATCGCTCCGTGATATCTTTCTACTCTGTGTACATACTTTTTCTTCCTCTTCTCTAGACTTAGTATTTCTTCCGAATGCTACCATATCTGTTGATTTTGCCTGAGCGAACGTGATACACTAAATGAAATAGACTAAGCTGCGAAGGATATACAGTTATAATTATTACTTACCTTAAAGCAGACTCTTAAGGAAGCAAGAAAGTTACTAGAGTATGAAAGCCAGGACAACAAAGCATTCTAGCGGTTATTATTAAAGTTCTAAAAAGAGACTGAAAAGGAGCATACTGAAGCAAAACAGTTATAAATTATTTAGATAGAAAGAGAAGCTGTAAAGCTGAAATCTAGCATTAGAGATAATCTTTTATCTGTTAACTATGTTAAGCTATGGAAGCAGGCTATGTAATAATGTGTTCCCTCTACAGCTGAGTGGCTGCAGCAGGAATCCCTTTTTCATTAGTGGAAAGATAACTGGGGTACTGCCATCCTCTGGTATTCAGGCATAATAAGTGTGGGTAAGACAGTGCTCATGTCTAATATGGTAGCCTAACTGCATGTGTCATGCAAAGCTAATAACATTATATCCTATTACTTCTGTTGCTCTGATAATGCAACAACCCTGTCAGCAAGGAGCATTCTGGGAAGCCTTACTCACTAAATATTAGATTCCCAGATTGAGAATGCTGAACATGACAGTCTATGCGCCCTAGACAAGGATAGTTATGACCTTAACACAGCTAAGGTGGTCATTGATTTCTTATTATCTCGCCTTCAGGTTGGCAAGACATACTATCTAGTCCTTGATGGTCTTGATGAATGTGATAGGGGCGAGATTTAAATAGTGGTGCGGAGCCTGGCTCAACTCTACAATAAGCATATTAGTGACTTCAAAATCCTCTATGCAGGCCGCCCTAAGCTTGAAAAAGAGCTATGGAGAGTAGCCACACCCAAGTACAAGATCCAAGTAACTAAGAGAAAAGTTAAGTCAGACATAGATTACTATATTATAATAATTCTGGGTTACTGCCTGGAAGAGGGGTAGCTGAAGCTAGGGGATCTAAAGCTCATCATGCCAATATCTAAAGCTTTACAAGAAGGATCTAAAGGGATGTAAGTGACAATTTGCTAATTAGAGATCATGAAATAGCAACTAACAGGCTGACTAAAATAGGTTCCTTTGGACTTACCTTTTTATTAAAGAGCTCTGTGCACAAAGCAGTGATAATAACATATTAGAAGCATTAAAGCATCTGCCGCGTGGCTTGTCTGATATTTTCAATTAAAAGCTTTGTTGTGTCTGGGATAGAACAGTAGTAAAGGAAGCATTAAAAATACTCTAATTTTATAGTGTGGTGCAGTGCTCATTAATAGTCATGGAATATTAAGAAGCCTTGAGTCTCTCCCCTAGGCAAAAGTCTCTTGACCACAGGAAATTTCCTAATGATATATTCAGAGCCGTCAGTGACTGTTATGGGTTAATATTTATTAATGAAGAGGATAACACTATGCACTATGTTCATCAAAGTATTAAATAACACCTTTTCATGATCAACAGTCTACACTCACTGGAATTTAATATAGTAAGAATTAATCAGCATCTTAGATTCCTCTGCATAACCTATCTTAATTTTACTAACTTTAAGCACCAGCTAATAAAGATTAAAGAGGGCTCTAACATTCCTATTAAACCCCTTTAGCTTGCGACCTTCCCTATTAGTCATTCAAGTAATGTTACTAGTTAAATAGCCCTAAAGCTACTTTCCTAATGCTATTAGTTACAGCATCTTAGTGCTTAAGAGCTAGAGAGGAAGGCCTAAGAAGTACTTAGCAACTTAGAGTCTTCATGTCTAGAGTTGGAAATCCAGAAATGAGATTTCCAGTTTTTCAACTACGCCTGGACTTATTAGATAAATCATGTGACTGACCTGGACCCTAATATAGAGAACACCATGTAGAGATTATTTTGCTGATGTGTAGAAGGTAATAATATTCTTACATGCAGACCATGGGAGTTAAAGAAGCTAAATAATAAAGAAAGCAGTAATATACTGAAGGTGATACAGTGGCTAGTAGCCCATGGGCATCATACCTTACTTCTGTACTATGTAAGGTATTAGTCTCATATTTTAACTAAAAATGTGAAGCGCTAAATCCTTTATAACACTACTATTTATAACTGTTATTGCTTCACAGAGCTAATCATTTAACAAATAAATACTTCCAGTGAAACCTTGAATTATGAGTTGATATATACTTTAAGAGAAGGGTGTAATAATTTAGTAATAAGTTTACTCCAAGCAGCAGCCTATGTGGATGCTTAAGTGTGTAACTAAACAGCATTACAAGCAGCAGTAAAAGGTGGCCATGTCCAGGTAGTAGAGAGACTGTTAGCAGCAAAAGCTGATGTCAACGCATACCCTGCTGTTCATGGTAGATGAACAGCGCTCCAAGCAGCAGCAGAAGCTGGTTATGTCTAGGTTATGGAGAGACTGTTGGCAGCAAAAGCCGATGTCAATGCTCCCACTGGTGGTGAAGGAACAGCACTCCAAGCAGCCGCAGCAAAAGGTCATGTTCAGGTCGTGGAGTGACTGTTGGCAGCAAAAGCTGATGTCAACGCGTCTCCCGCTGGTGGTGATGGACGAACAGCACTCGAAGCAGCCGCAGCAAAAGGTCATGTTCAGGTCGTGGGACTGTTGGCAGCAAAAGCCGATGTCAATGCTCCCACTGGTGGTGGTGGACAAACAGCACTCCAAGTAGCCGCAGGACAAGGTCATATTCAGGTAGTGGAGAGACTGAGACAGGCTGGGGCACAGTGATAATCCCTAATCTTAATAATGAGTTACTCACATCATGCAAAACTTCCTTTTCTCTAGTTAGGACCATTCCATATACTGGACCTCTTTGAGAAGTTAGGCGCGCGCCCTTTTGGGCCTGACAAAGGATTATCAGGCATATATGAGAGCTTAATAGGATTTGATTCAACTCCTAGGAGATGAGTATGACAATGCACTGGAGGTTGTTTCCCTCAGAGGACATAACAAGATTATACAGATGCTATCAGAACTGGTAGCTGATGTCAAAGCCCAGGGTGGATGCTATGGCAACGCAGTGCAGGCTGCCTCATCAGAGGACATGACAGGATTGTGTTAATACTACAATGAGTAGGTTCCTTGATAAGTTAACATCTTATGTTTTCTAAAATTTTAAAAATTTCTTGATGCTCACAAAATGTATCTCTTATTAGGCTTCCATCATTATGCTTACCTTTGTATATACTTACTGCAGGGCTTTCCTTTTCTGCTCCCTGACTATTCTGAGTTCTAAATAACTTCTCTCCTAATTACAAACCCTACTGCCACCTGTTAAAGAAAACTGTGCGGACTTAGTGGATGCACTGAATACATCCATGAGCAAGTCAGGGGTGAATTAATAGTGTAGAATAACCAGGAACGGTGTGTGTGTGTGTGTGTGTGTGTGTCATTATTTAACAGCCGTAGGCCGTGATTAGACCTCGGCAAAACCCAACCCGGAACACCCCCCTTGAGCCCAGAACCCAGCCCAGGTAAAACCCGGAACACCCCGCCTAAGCCCAAGCCCAGCCCAGAACCCAACTGGGCTACCTAGTTGGGTTACCCAGGTTGTTTCATTTTAGTATAATTGTCCTAATTAGGCCATGCCAAGATGCATAATTCTGCTGACTAACTTAAATAAAATACTGTTATTTACACCTGTTCTAGTCACCTCTGTGGTTTTGATTAATATATAGTCCTTAAACATATGAAATCTTAAGTAATTCGGCTGTTTCTTAATAAATCAACACTGGTAATTATCTATTATCTAAGTCTTAAGATAATATTATCATGTTGTGGTGGTTAATAAGCTACACCTGTAAAGGTACTCTTTATCACTGTAGAAATATATTTAAACTGCAGAGTATAGGTGTATCTTAATCAGACTATATTAAATTCCTTCTTTCTTTCAATTCACCTAAGGGAGAGATGGATAGTGAGAAAGGTGGTATTATTCATTACCAAGCTAATAACTAAGATAACTAAGAAGAAGGGATGGCAGCAAGAAGGATCTCTCATACCTAGTAATGATGTTATTCTATAGAAAAGCTCAAACTTAGAAGAATACTAAAGGAAACTGGGCTTTCTGGATATTATAGGCCTGTTCCAGAACATGTTCTGGAACATGTTCTGGGTGATTTATTAGGTAGCCCAGAAAACCTAGTGTATCTAGATAGTACTATCTAATCATACCATTTGTTCTATCTGCAGGAGGGTCAAAATATGATAGATTAATAACTTCAATTTGGCTGCTAGCTGACTGATATGCCCCCCCTCTATCATCTGAATATTTTATTTTCTAGACTTGAAGATATCTGTAAGTTAATCATTGCTCACTTTGCTCTCACCCCTAGCATATATTTCACTATATCTTAATTCTCTGACTCTTTCACTCCATCCTTATATGAATCTGATAGTATTAACACCTTCACGAATATCCCATAAGATAATCTTACACCTGATCTTTCTCATAGCCAACAGAGCTTTAATTCAGATAATGACTATTCTATGTTTTGAACTCTAGCACCACTACCGCCCCCCTCCCTCCAGTGCGTTGGGCCTGATCACAAGAAATCCTACGTGCTTTATACTATGATGTCAAAGACAGAATTCGTTGAATGGTGGCTTAAAATAGAGTATGGAGCAAAGAAAAGAATATATTAGGATAGTGGTAGGCGCTCCTCAAGCATGTGGGACAGCTTTAATCAAATTACACAGGCCAGTGATGGCAAAGCAAAGCTTATATGCAAGAAATGTGGTGGTATTCTTGATCATCCACATAATAATGAGCATGGCACATCAACTATGGCAAGACATCTAAAAGGATTGCAATGCCGTAACTTCTCTGCTAATCATACAAAGCAGAAAGGCATTATGTCACTTATACAGGACACAGTAAGCTATCTTAATATCTACTATAACTACATTAACTAATGTTGATAGCCGCAACATCTTACAACTACACTAGTTTTCTCTCAGCAAGCATGGGAGGAGAAGCTCCTTACCTTTATTACAAGGGCAAAGCTTCCTTTTCAACTTATTAAACACTCTGAGTTTTAAGAATTAATTAAATTCGCCTGACTTGCTCCTTTACAGCCCAATATTCCTTCCTCCCAAATCATTTAATGGTGGTTACAGGACACAACTAAGATATGGTAATAAAAGATGCTTGATATGCTTCCATCTGGTACAAAGTTATCAATTGCCCTTGATTGCTGGACATCTCTATTTTAACAGGTGTTTATGGCAATCACAGGATATTTTATTGATGATGAATAGAATTATTGAGAAATTTTGCTTGGTTTTGAACTGCTTCATGGATCTCACTCTGGTGCTAACCTAAGTGCTGTTCTTTTTGACCTGCTTCAGCAGTATAAGATTATGGATTATGTGCTTTCTATCACAATAGATAATGCATCTAATAATGGTACATTAATGGAAAGTATACAAGATTTAATCTAGTTAAATCAAATCAGTGCTGACACTATAATTATCCATGTTCCCTGCATCGCGCATGTCATCTAGCTTAGTTTACAGAAGCTTCTTGGTCAGATGAAAGCTAATCCAAAGAATGAGATAATAGAGATTAATTAGTCAGAGGCCTGATCACAGTCACTATGAGCAAGGCAGTAAAAGCGAGAGATTGCTAATACACTTAATAAAGTGAGTCTTTATAATATAGCATTTAGATTATATTAATTATTATTCTACTATTAGGTGAGAGTGCTTGTAATTTTTATTAATGCAAGCCCTTAATGTCATGAAGCCTTCTATGATCTCCAGACTGAAGCGCCAAAGCTTGTACTAATCTAAGATGTTAAGACTTACTAGAATTCCACCTTCTTAATGCTGTGAAGAGTAAAGAGACTACAGCTAATCTTTAATTAGTTCTGCTTACAAAATGGGCATGATTACTTGATGCTTAACTAAGAAGAATGGTGCCAGATTAAGTATCTTCTTTAGATTACTCAACCATTCTTTAAATTCACTACCATGCTTTCTCAAATAAAAGATGTGACCTTCTATATCATCTTCAGTATCTACAATAAACTTTTTGATCATCTTAAAGCATCAATCCGTCAGCTTCAGTGGAAGAAAGTAGCCTGGAAGAACCTTATGCTTAGTGCTCTACATGCAGTGAAGGAGAAGCTATCTGTCTACTATGGGGAAATAGATAAGGTTCATGGTGATCTGTTTGCAATTAGGACAATCCTTGCACCACAAAACAAGCTTTAGTTCTTTAATAATAAGGATTGGGGCCCTGAATTGCGTGATAAATATCGCAAAAGCTTTAAAACCTATGCAGGTCTGTATAAGGAACGCTTGTTAGCTACATAGGGCTCTCTACAGGTATCTCCTTTGGGTGTTCAGACATCAAAGATTAATGCGCTTTTTGCTCCTGATTTTAATTAATTAGTAAGTAGTGACAAGACTACATAGTACCTTGAGAGTGGTAAGTAATATTATTATTCCTGCTAACACTTTACTGATTAATATTATCTAAAAGAAACAGCCCTAATTGCTCTATGGACATTCTGGAAAGAGCATGAATACAAATTTCCAGCTCTTGTAAAAATGGCACGCGATATACTCTTAATACCTGCCACTGGCGCTGGTGTTGAGCGGCTTTTTAATTCTGCTTGAGATGTCTGCTATTATCATCAAGGCTCACTTAATTCTATAACAATCCAAGATCTAATGCTATTCATGTGTACATTAAGGTTTGAAGTGGAAGAAAAGGAACTTTCCCTTATAAAATAATATCTTTTAAATGAGGAACAGCAAGCACTTAATGAAGAGAAAGATGCTCAATAGCTTCAAGATACTCTTGAGCTAATCAGTGACAATAAAGAAGATGATGGCCTGGAGATTAGTATAGACTGACCAGCTACTCAGTAGCTCTCTAAGCGTGCTCAGGGCAAGAGATGAAGGAGTATGGTATCTAATAGGGAGCAAGAGGGCTAGGAACCTATTCCATCTGATGATGAAGGGGTTCTTCCTTTACCTGACACGCAACCGCGTATCTCAGGATGAAATCAGAAGCATACAAGGCGTGAGGATGATCAGTTCCTTCATTATTAGTTGTTAGAGAAGAAATAGAAGGGCAATTAAATATGATTTTCTTAAAATTCTTATTCTTCCACTTCTTCAACTATACATATAATGATATAAAGTATATACAGTTTGAATACCTATAAATACAAGACAGGACTACATAATTAATGCATATCACATGATCTATAATGTTTGTCTGGTTTGTCTACCCAACTGGGTTACCCAAAACCCAGTTAGGTTCTATACAAAAGCCCAGAACCCAACTCAGAACACCCCCCTTGAGCCCAAAACCCAGCCCAAGTTGGGTTTGACACATGTTTCAGTTGGGTTACCCAGAACACCTGCCTAGGTCTAGCCGTGATTAATCACTGCCTACCCATTCCCTAGTGGGACAAAGGCCGCCAGGAGGTAAGCCCTGGGTGTCAAGAACTAGTTACAAGAAGTGACTCTTTGGCGCTTTTACATAGCTGCCGTGACCCAAAAAAGGGGGGGGCCCTGCAGCTTATGGCCTCAGTGGTCGATATTTCTATCTATTGCAGACGTCAGCCATATAAGGGACTTTGAGTTCGGTCCAGACGTCTTATAAAATATCGAGCCCAGGAACCGCTGCTTCATGCACGTATTCAGACTGGGCAGTAGTCCTCCTTCAGCAGCTTTATAAGCATTAAATTAATGTACTTTATCTATGTTTGTGATTTTACTGCTAATGCTATCCCATCATCTGGGTGTAACTAACTTTGAGTTCAGCCCCACACCATCCTTGTCCTATTGTGTCTGGCCTGTACTCGCGGTACCTCTGCTCACCTATGGTAGCATGATGAGATTTGTGAGTTTAGGATGTTTTGACCTTAGCTAATATATACTCCTAGAAATCTTGAATGTTTGCTTCTTTAATCCTTAAATTTACTTACAGCTCCCTGTAGCTTATACTATTATGGAATTTCTTAGCTTGGCAGCTTCTAGCTTCTATTAAGAGTACGCACCTAATAATTTTAACCAGAGATTTTGCTATAAGTAGTTAGTTAGTATGTTATATTCACCTTCTGTCACCTAAAACTTACTCATGAGGGAAGGACTTCTTTTAATAGAGTGTCTTATAGAAGCATGCAAACTACTAAATAGGTAGATAAGGAATATCTTCATGAACTTTAGCTAATCTCCACTAATATGATTCATACTCAGATGATGGGTGCCAGAAGTAGTAGCCTTAGCTTCTCTAGGCTTAGATTAATCACATCTACTTCAACATCATTAGATGACTAACCCCTATGGCATTTATAGCAACTACGTTTGCACGATCTTTTAACAGAGCAAAACTCAGTTAAGTTCAAGTTAATCAGCTATACTGTCTAGGTTGTGGCTGTTAGCCATGTCATATGTAGTCCTCATAAATCTCATATTTAAGGTCATGATACAGTGGTAATAGAATTGCAAAATGGATTACGCAGTTCCTTAATATTAAAATGCAAAGATCAGCCTGTCTCACTTATTATGTGTCTGGAAAGGCTGCACACTACTTCTGGCCAGCCTTCCACCCTTGATAATATACAGCCATTACCTTAAACTATCTTATCACAGTAATTTACTGCACAGCCACAGCCCATTACTTACTAACTATTATAAAGCCAGGGACAACTGGATCTTAGCTATGGATAAGACAGTACATAACAATCTGTAAGAGATACATATCCCTCACCCTTATTACTTTCAGGCTTTTGTTTGGCTTTCAAGCATTGCTCTATTTGTTGTTATCCCTTATAGGAAACAGAGGATGGATGAAATCAAATTAGTTTTTACAGGCACTGGACTAACAGCATGTGTATTTCTTCCTGCCAAAGCCATACTTATTACTCAGCTAAGAATGTAACATTGATGCAGCCTATATTAACTTGCGTGTTATGGCCATCAATGTTGAAACTGGTGGTTTGTTATTGACAAGCCAGTTTCTCATGTGACACCTATCGCATCAAGTTCCTCTAACATTCAAAGAATGTTTGTCTACGTTCCAGCGCTATAGAGGCTTTCTTATGATTAAAGAGTAACTCTTTCTCTTTCTTTTGTTGTTGAGAGCTGAACTAACTCATTTCCTTAGGCATAGCTCAGATGATATTTGGTCAAGGTATCATCCATACCAATACAGCCAGGCTTCCGCACAGAGCAAATTTTCCAGTACTTACTAGAATATAGCGCATCAAAATCTCTAGCCTTTATATATTGTCCAACTAGCAAAGCCAACCCCACCTACACAAAAGTCAAGTCTCATTTAAAAAACATATTCACCATCCTCAGTCGCCCAGGGTCAGTATAATGGATAAGATATTAAAGACAAGCTGTGTGCATACAATTATTTTGCGAACACTTATGTGTGAAGGAGCTGAGGAAGAGCCTAGGACTAAGGCAGGACTAAGGAGGGCAAGGAAGTCATTTCAACCCTTTAATGGCTTAAGGTTATGCCCTTATTTGGAGGATCCTGCTTGACTCACATAGTCTTTAGTTATATATACCTCAAAAGACCAGGTCAAAGAATATGCTAATAACGTTAAAAAGGGCTCATGGATCCCTCTACAGTCAATAGTATATGTAGGATCCAGTATATACAGTATGCCTGTCCCAGCCTTCTCTGGCCTGGTAGTGCATTTGTATGTCCTGAGCCATGTAATAAAGGCTGATTACCACTCCCTTACTAGCCTATATTCACTTCTGTAGCACATTAGCAATAATAGGCATTCTGTGACGGCCCATCACCATCTCTCATAACCATCCTTTGTCACCTCACTTACCACTTCTGGAAGTTTGATCTGTTTACACTATTGCTCTGTGATATCTTTCTACTCTGTGTACATACTTTTTCTTCCTCTTCTCTAGACTTAGTATTCCTTCCAAATGCTACCATATCTTTTGATTTTGCCTGAGCGAACGTGATACATTCTACATCACATCTTCTAAATATTTCATCCTATGCTCTTCTCATTTCCATTAGTACTCAAATAGTGCTGTATAAGCACCCACTCCAAGATCTTACTTAAATTAAGGTACTAGGGATACTACCCTGTCTGCTGAATAACTAAGAGTTAAGGATGCATTATGTTAACCATTATCACTCTGAAGCATAGGCAGGATGAGGATTTTTTAACTACAAAAGTCAAAGTCTCTATATAAAATGATGTAGGGTTTAGCAATTTTTATTCTAGCATATTACAGCATAATAAACTTACACATTTTATGATCATTTCTGCAAGTTAGTACTACTCCTTAGAATTATAGGCGAACAAAACATTTTTAGACCCTTCTACGTCATTAGGACTTAGGAGTTTAGGACAAAGTGAAAACTATGCCCCCAAAAAAAGGGGAATGTGCATGGATATGGTTAGGCTTGGCTTAACGACTTTTATTTAGCTGTCATGTGGTCCTCAGGGTGAATAATCAATCCCACTCCGTACGTGTTCAGGCAAAGATCAGTGAGTGATCAGGGACTCTCCGGAGGGCTCCGGGACTGCTCAGGGAGCGATCAGGGCACGCACTTTCTCTCTCCGGTCACGATCCGGCTGGCTCAGTGAGCAAAAAGCGGCGGCACTTCGGACTGAATCCGGAAATGGAAAGTCGTACAGTTTCCGCAGAAAAACAGTTCAGTAGTAAACCAACTAAGATCCAGCACACCCTTAATTACTAATTTCACAGTTGGCATCATATGCGCTCTCCCCCTGGAAGCAACGGCTGTTGCCGCCTTGTTCGACAAGAGCTTCGATGTAATCCAACATAGGAAGATGCCAGGTGATGAAAACTCATATTCCATGGGTGTCCTTTGGCGGTACAACGTGGTTCCAGCACACATGCCCAGTGTGGGAAAGGTTGCCGCTACGACAACGGCGGCTGGTTTGCGTTCAAGCTTTCCAAACATCGAGCTTGCAATCGTGGTCGGTATTTGTAGTGTTGTACCTCACGGCAATGGCAGGCAGAATATTCATCTAGGCGACGTGATCATCGGCAAAGGGGTCATCCAGTACGACGTGGGTAGACGACTACCTAGTAAGAGATTTCTACGGAAGGACAGTGTTTCGGTTAATCTTCCACAACCACGCGCTCAGATTCACGGAACCCTGGAGAAGTTGCAAACTCAGCAGCATCGAGCATGTCTTCAGCAAAAAACATGGGAATATGCGGGGACTATCCAGCAAAGACTGGGTGACGAGGCAGAATACCCAGGCTCAGCAGAGGACAAGCTGTTTAACACTTCATATCAACATAAACACAGCAAACACTCCAACTGTGAAACATGTAAAGCCGGGACAGATGTTACTAAAATATGTGAGTCGGCAATTAAAATGACCTGTGACCAACTGCCATGCAAGAAGCGAGAAGTAGTTCATCATGCCTCCTCATCTGTGGATTCCAAACCTGTCATCCATTTTGGTCTGATCGGATCTGGCAATACAGTGATGAGATCAGGTGAAGACCGTGACAGTATCGCTGGTCAGGACCAAGTGATTGCCTTTGAGATGGAAGGCGCTGGTGTCTGGGAGTCCTTTTCAAGTGTCTTGGTCATTAAAGGAGCATCCGACTATGCAGACAGTCACAGGAGCAAGCAGTGGCAGCCTTACGCCACTAGCACAGCTGCGGCTGCTGCAAGAGCAGTCTTAGATCTGTGGACTCCAGGTATGAGGTTGTATTACCGCGTCTGCATCATGATACTCATAGAGCAAAATAGGTCAAATTATGTTATATGAGACGACGAGCACGTTGCCTGCCCAATATACGGAACGCAAAGATGCTCGGCTGGACCTATTGAGAAAGCTTCGTACTTGTCCATTCCGAGATCGTAAAGATCGAAATCCGAATCGAGCACAGGGAACGTGTCAATGGTTTGTGACCCATCCACTCTTCGCGGATTGGCAACAACGAGAATCATCAATAGCGTTGTGGGTATCTGCCGACCCTGGGTGTGGAAAATCCGTTCTGGTCAAATATCTGGTTGACTCATTTCTGCCGACTTCCATGTCAAGAATCGTGTCTTACTTCTTCTTCAAGGATGAGTTTGACGACCAAAGGACCGTTGCTGGGGCCTTATGCTGCACCCTATACCGAATATTTGACCAGAAGCCCGATTTGCTTTCTGATTGGGTTATAGACAAAGCCTATATTGAAGGAGAGGCACTATTAAGTTCATTCAACAGCCTGTGGGATATCCTTGTGAGTGTTCTAATGGCAGTTTCTTTTCGTCGCCAGTGAGCTAGCTCCATGCCCTTGCTAATTTCCTCCACCTTTGCCAAAGTAAAGTGCTTGATCTTCTGAGATATGCTGTTGGACTCGAATTCGCCTTCGCCACTTAGATAAAGAATCGGTATTGATGAGACGTTGAAGCACTGGAAGATCCTCAAGACATGGCTATAAGGCCTCGACGTCACCAGAAATTTCAAACGAATGTTCTCTGCTGCGTGTTGTAGATTGCACAATGCTTTGATTAACTGGTCCCTCCCATTCTCATCGGACTCGTCCACTGCAATCGAGAAGACACACAATGTCCACACAGTTTTGAGATCTCGAGCAGCAGTACGCTGAGTGGGCACTTAGAAATGAAAAAATCCGCACTGTTGAGCAAATTGTGCGGCACCGTTTATTGAAGGGCTATTCTCCCGGAATAAGGTCTCCTCCAATGGGGACTGCTATTCTCGAGCAGTTCAAGAAGATAAAGTCGGTGCTCGGAGCAGCAGGTGCATAATGAGTTCAACAAGCTATAGTGATTTCTCCCCCGAGTCCAAAGAGAGAGATCGTTAATCATTATTCACAACATACGGGTCAGATCGCATCGAAAACGCATTCAGCCCTCTGAAATCGATATTGTCTATAGTAGGCTGCCGACAGTCTAGTTGTTGGCAATTATGTGGCGAGCGCTCTGCTAGTCACGGGTGGATCAATCTGAGTGGCATGTGTATGATTATTCGCTTAATAGAGAGTGCTTGCAATAACGGCTTCCGATACCCAGATAATTCTATGAAGCGTGCAATGTTGGGCGTTAGCTTCAAGTCGTCAGTTTCAACCAAGCGTTGGTGGTCAATGACAGCGCGGACAGCAAGCCGTTAGGCATCCACAAGAAACGCACCCACGTGCTCAACAACTATGTTAAGAACGAGCTCCACTGTTCCAGTAGCTGTCACTTCCGGAGAGTGTCTGCGGAACATGCTCGTGAGACAGGAGCAGTCAAGACGTCGCCGATAAAATCAGAGAGCACTCTGAGCAGGTACATCAACTGGTTTGAACAAGATTGTCGCGACCTGTAACTGCAGGGATGCACTCGAACGAGCCCTATATTTGTCGACCATAACTAGCAATAACCAGTCATTCTTATGATGGGTCGCAATGAGCTGCCAACTTTGTGCAAGCCGGGTGCGTGGACCCAAACTCTACACAAGATGCGTACGATCAGTGTTTCGAAAAATTATCTTCAAACCAAGCCGACACTGACACTGACAATGATGTGAAGCTGGACAAAACGCGTGCAGACACGCTTCGCAAATACTCTTTGGAATGTGGCCTTGGATATACAATGTTCATCAACGTAGAAAGGTGAGCAATTGGATGTCTTGCAGGGTTGATTTTCTAGGGGCTGTACAATTAGGGCTAATGTTGTAGATTCATCAATATGTATCTATATTGCATGTTCCTAAACCTTCACTGATGTTTGGCCAGCGTCGCTGATGCTTAAGTGGTCAACATAGTTGAACCCTATCGCAGTTCGGTTGAGCATTAATGATGGTTGAACAATGTAAAAGTTGTTCGACCACCCATCACTTTCTTGACGTTGGCGGATTTTAAGCGAACCTCGTGAAAGCCATAATTGCACTCAGGTCAAGTATCCTGGAGAACATCGTTTTACAAACAACGTCATCAGTACCTAAGCAATCATCGTTTGGGAAGACATGTGCAACTACTTCATGTAACAACTGTCCTCATGCAAGGACAAATTTTCCTCCCTGCCTCCAGTTCATGTACTTCCTTCTTCAGCTGGGACCTCCGCCGTCTGGCAGTGGTGTCCTCTCCTGCAATTTCCTCAAGCTCATCATCATCAAGACTGCTAACGAACGAGGGCGAAAACATCGACATAGGAGTCTCCGGGCCAAGATTCTTCGAGAAGAAGCGTGTGTCTTCGCAAAACCCTTTGCTCCCTTTCCCGGGTCTGCGAATAGACCAAGCGCGCCTGACCACAGTCACATTGGCTTGGTCATACATACTTTCATGCCGATGGGTTGAGATTTGCCGGAGTGCGGGTGAAAGCACTACCCTGCTGCATCGTGCTAGATGAATTAGTGTAAAGAGAATGAAACTGAGCGTCTGCGAAGCCGCAAGTCCTAGTGAGAATGGCCCGCGTCCGTGAGGAATCTTCCGTTGAGAAGTATCCAAACGCTCTTAGTGTCATCTTTCCTAAGGAACACCCGATCTCCGGTGTCCTCCAGTCCCCTCTCCAGTGGCCTTTACTCACGCCGCACGCAATCTTTCAGATGCACGTTCTTCAGGTCCACACCGTAATCGTTTGAGAGGACCTGGCCGCTTGTGCATCGGCCGACGGTCCAATGTGCACCGATGGAAGTCAATGATTAAGGCTCGTTTGAGCTCAGCATTCCACAAGATGTTTTCCGGACGGAGATCCTGGTGGAAAATGCCTAAAGAACGAATTTCCTTTACCGACCGAGAAATCGCACGCTGAACGGTCTTGCCAAGGGTTACATGGCCCAAGCTCTCGCCACCCCAGCCCATAAGGAGCATATGACGGATTTCTCCCGCGCCGTGAAGGAAGTAGATCTGGGCCAAATTGATAGCTCCCAGAAAGACTGGAACTGCCGATCCTTGGGCACGCTGGAGGACACGGTAGACCTCTGCTTCCCGCGACACCTCCTTCCAAAGCTTCGAAGTCGTCCCTTTCCCGACAATAGTGTATCCGAATGTGGCACAAGTAATCTTGAATGGCGCACCGTAGGATCCACAAGGTCCTATTGGAGTGCAGTTATGATCCAGATCTTGATCAAGCTGCGCCTTGAGCCTCTTCACTAGGTCTTCTGCGCTGATCGGGTGGCGCCGGACATATCAAGTGAGAGCAGGGTGGCTACCCCCTTGGCTGCCCACGTCGCACGAACCTGGGAGACAAGAAGGTCTAGGGCCGACTCTGTAGATCTGTTTCGGCGCGCTCCCATTTGCGTCTCCGGGAGGAGGCTGTGTGATTCTGCCAAGTCTTGTAGGTATCGCGCAGTGACTGCTTCCGTCACCTTGCCTAGTGTGTTCAAGAGGGCAATTGGTCTCCAGGACTTCGCTTGACTATAGCTCTCCTTCCGCGGCTTCTTTAGCACAACCGTCCTTGCCTGGCGGAAGATTCTAGGAGAGTACTCCCAGTCCCAGCAGGCCTGGGTCAGAACCTGCAGGGCTTTGATGAGTGGGTCTCCCATCGCCTGGAGGAAACCAGCAGGGATACCGTCGATGCCCGGAGCTTTATTGGGGGCCATATTGCCCAAGGCTGCTCTGACCATTTCTTCACTGACTCGGGGGGCACTCTCAATTTCCATTGTCTGAGTGAGCGGCGTTCCAGCCTCGGCAACGGGCCCAGGCGGGAAGAATTGGTTGTGGAAAGCTGCGGCCTTCTCCTTGAAGGTCTCTGCGGCCGGCAGGCCTGGTCCTCTCTCGAGTTTGGGGACCTTTGGTAGCTCTGGTGGCAGGTGGCTTCTATCTTTGGCCCAGCGAACGAGGTTCCAGATCCCCTTTTCCCCGTCTTTTGCTCCATGCACCGCTGCGCGCCATGTCTCTCTCTTCGCATTATATATAGCCGCTTTCTTACGTTCGGTCAAGCGGTTCACTTCCTCAGCGGGGCGTCCTAGCCTTCTTGCTCGCCGCTCATCACGAACCCTATCCTCAACTTCCCTGGTCCACCATGCGCATCTGGGTGCACCTTCTTGGCGGTCCTTTGCCTTAGGTGTAGATGTTTCTGCCAGGGCGAGAATGAAGTCTCTGAGGTACTCCGCGTACTCATCGATTTGTCGGTGGGAGGAGAGATGCTGCGGGATGGTTAGGTGTTCACTCCCAGCCCGGACCAGCTCTTTATCCGCCAGCTTCCACGATCTTCGCGGCTTTACCGGATTAGCCTGCTGACTGTCTGGTAAGGCCAGCCAGGTTGCTACTGGCCTATGATCAGATCCGTGGTGAAGTGCCTCTTGGACATCGCATAACAGAACGTGTTGAGAGAGGCTCTCAGATAGAAAGATGAGGTCGATTGTGGAGGTTGAGCTGCTCACGTCGTTTCTCCTCCATGTAACAAGGCCCGCTGCTCCTGTTGTTCCTAGGAGGTCTTCTGCCATCCTGCTTGTCCTGGCACGATTGGGCGCAGACCACAGAGGATGGTGGAGGTTGAAATCTCCAAGGAGAATGTGTTCACCTTCTCACCGGAGGAGCTCTGGGAGCCTCAAGATGGGGCTGTCAGGATTGTACACATGGGGTTCCGTGGGAGGGTTATACACGTTTATGATGGTCAGGACGCGCGTCAGAAGCCGAATCGTGAGTACCGCGATATCAGTGAAGAACTCGACATCCCAGCAGTGGCTTGGCCATTTCTTGTTGATCAGGAAGCAGGCTCTTGTGTGGCGATTGGTCAGGTAAAAGGGTCTAAACGGGGAGTTTGTTTCGCAATACATTGCATGCATTCGGGGATTGTGTGCTGGCTCCTGTATCGCGAGAATGTCATAAGTCGCTGTGTCTCGGTGTGCTGAGAGGAGGGTCATAGTGTCCTTTCGCTTGTGCACGTTGTATTGGGCGATGCGCAGCTCCATTTAGTGGTCTGTGTTGGAGACTTGGGTGTCACTTGGGGCGTCCAAGGTCAAGGCCTGGCTAGCCATGACTTCTAGCATGAGTTGGTCTTCGGGTTCCTGAGAGCTTGCCTGAGAGGCTTGGGTATGCTCAGCCTGGGGTGTAAAGAAGTTGTTAAGTCGCCTGTCGTCCGGGGCAGCAAGAGGCTGTCAGGGACGACCAGGTCCTCGCGGTTTCTGGGCCACAGGATTGGAAATGTGTTCTCCAGATCTTTTCTTGGAGGGGAGAGGGTGTTGTGCCAATCCCTGGGGTTGCTTGGGCTCTGCGAAGCGCTTTGGCTTGGTCTCAAGAGCTCTCCGGGCCCTACTGACCTCCTCCTAATGAGCTCTGCAGTCCTGGCTACCCGCCATATGCCTGCCCGCGCAGTTGGCACATCGTTGCTTGGTCTTCTGACCCTTAAGGGGGCAGTTCTCATGTGAATGTCCGCCAGCCGCGCAGAATCCGCACTTCTTGTTGGCTCTGCAGCTGCGTGCTGCATGGCCATACCCCTGACAGTTGAAGCACCTGGTAACGAGGCATTGTGGATCAAACAGCTCCACTTCCTTGATCTCTCCATCGATCACAATCCCTTCTCTTATAAGCAGGTTAGCTCCCTCTAGTGAGCCAATATCCACTAAGATGGAGCTAACTTTTTGTTTAAGACATATGATCCTCTTCCTCCAATGGTATCCCAGGATCCGGACCTGATCCGCGATAGCTGGGTTCTGGTCATAGATCTTCTGGATGCCTAGCGCTTGTTTCTGGTTGTCAAAAGCAGATACCTTAACCCCATGAACCCAGACGGTGTACTTTTTGGGTCGGAGTCTGGCGGAGCCACCGATGACCTGGATCCAGCCATCGACTTGCTCCTCTGCCTTGGTCTTAGTATCCGTGGAGTCCGCTGTCAATATGAGGTCGCCACTTGGTAACCGTCTTGTGTTGAGGATCTTGCCCAGGCCCATCCCAGCCAGGCGGTCGTTGACCGCCTTTGTGATGTCGGTCGGGGTCCATGCCGAACTTTCAGCGGTCAGGTCGCCGGCCTGGATTCGGATCTCACGACGTTCCTTCAATGGTATTGGCTTCTCTGTAGGGCTGGTGCCTTGGACTATCGACGCGTAGGTAGGTGGGGGGCTTGCAGGAGGCGTTTTGGGGGGGCTCTCTTGGTTCTTCGTCGCGTTGTTGACACGTTGCACGATCGGGATGAGGTGGTTCAGGAGCGCATTTTTCAGCTCTCCGATGAGCACTGGAAGGCGGCTTGCTTCATTTAGAGATTGAAGTTCAGTGTCAATTGATTTGAATAGCTCAAGAAGCTTGCTTGTTTCCTGTGGGTGTTTTTGGGATGCGCGTTGGGTGGGCGGGGGGTTGCTGTTCCTCCCCCCTCATAGCCTCTTTGGGCTCCTGGGCCATCGCGACAGCCAGGAGACCAGGGAAAAGCTATAGTAGGGACTGTAAAGGTGCTTAGGAGTGCTTTAATGTGTTCCTTCGAGGATACAGCGACGTGTATCCTGAATAGAATGTCTCTTTTTTTAATTTTCAATCCGCATCTATATTCTATTCTGATTACATACATCGAAATGAACTGAGATACATCTATAATCGGATATATGCATAGACAAGTATAGAAAGTGCCGCAGCGGGTCACAATCTACAGGAATAGGAAGATACAGCACCGCCTGTTCTGTTTGCGAAACCGATTAATGGGCGAGATCAGCAATGACACGCTCACGCCAGGACCACAATACAGCCCATGTGGCTCCCGGGCCCACGAGGAACTGGCCTGCCACGACCCCAAGGGCAGCGTTCACCGCACTGCGGGTGTTGATGTATCCAAGCCGACGGAGATCCCAGACAGAATACAGATTGCCGCCCAAATAGCCAGCCAAGGCTGTGACAGCATCGTACTGGAAGAACGTAGCCACCTGCTGCGAAACGTTTGCCATATTCCAGTCAGCCTGGAAGGGGTTTGGTAGCTCGAAGAAGGCTTTCACAATGGAGATGCCGGGATGGGTCCACGCGTACGCCATTGTCGCAATGTGAACCGTAGACTGGACGGCGAACGCATACATATATGCCCTCTGTAGACTAGGTACGTCGCGCTTCTCGTAGCGCTTGAACTCAGCCTCGTGCTCTTCTGGAGAGCTATGTCTGTGCCGCCATCTTCGCAGCACGGCGGAGAACACCGCCGTTAACACGTTGACCAGCGGCGGTGCAAATTGCCATAGTGCGATCCAATTCTGCCAGGCAGGGAGGTTGGCCGTTGGCGAGAAGAACATGATCGTCGGCAGTACGAAGCCCAATGTGACAGCGGGGACGAGTGACATGGCTACTTCCTTGGGGACAGCACGGCCGGGGATGCTCTCGGTTCCGAAGATTGCGCTGAATATGGCGTGCAGGGGAGCCATGCGTCCGATGCCCTGTACTTGCATACCAGCAGTGAACAGACTCGGTAGAGCGAGAAGCGACCCCTGGTTTCCCAGTCGGTATCCTTCGATTGTGTAGATCAGAAGCGGCGATATGAGTTGGGGGAGGAAATTCAGGAGGTGCAGCCTCGCCGAAGGATCTTCATCCAGGATAGGAAAGGAAAACACTGACACAAGCATGTTCAAAAACCCCGACGCCGGTGTCTTGCCTAGCCATGAGATGACGATGGATCCGGATTCTCCCCAGCCTCCAACTCTGGACAAGGGCAGGCGGAATGCCTTTTCTGTGATAAACAGGACGAGTCCCATGCTTCCTATGAAAGCCCACCGCACAGTGCTTGACAATGCATCGGGGAGGGGTTTGGCAGGCAGCTCATCGTTGAAAGGTACGGCTCGCACTCTATCGGGCACAGGAAGATCTTCCAGTCTGGATGCGCCCACCATCCCCCGTCCCATGAGGTTGAAGGCAAACTCATTTCCTAGCAAGGGATGAATCAATCTCTGCACGATAGTGGATGTTATAGGATCTTCGAAGGCATCGAGAGCCTGCCTCTTATGAGCCTCGCGCACGATCGATTCAGCTCGGTCGTGCCTTGAGGATTGTGTCTCAGTGAAGATATCGACTATGTCTTCGTCGTTGAGATTATCCAAGGTTCCACCACGGCTCTTCTTCTTTCGCAATATTGCATTGACGAGCTCCGCGCATGATTCGATTGCCCCATTGCCTCCCTGGCCATTAAGTGGATTTGGCTACAGCGAACAGGCTTGTCAGCTCTGCCTGTAGGTCGAGGGAACATGAAAGGCTTTTCTTCTGTGCACTTGTGCAACTGCTTACCTTGTGGGCCGAGTCTCCCAATACAATCATCCGCTTGAAGAACCATTTCTTGAACACAACCTCGTGTAGCGGTGTCAGCGTCGACGAGAGTCGATTGGCAAAGACGTCGCCGAATGTAACTTTGTCGGTGATGGGACGGGAGCCATTCTGCTTGACAAACTCGGCTTCGTCCTGCTTCGTATACTTTGGTATGTCTTTGCCGTACTTTACCTCAGGTAGCCTGTCGAAGAAGAACCAATAGACACGGTCTTCCGGCCCCGAGACAACCAGCTGCGACTGACCTCTTCCCAACACGATGTTTTGCTCACCTGCGACCCATCCAGGGACGTGTTGAGCAATACCAAAGCTACAGCGGTAGTAGCATGGGACTCGGTCCTCCTCGTCCGGGGGAAAATAACCGGGCTGGAGCTCATTTCCGAGGGCTTTCATGATAGACCGAACCTTGCTATGAATGCCGTCTGCGCCTACAATAAAGCTGCCACTATATGTCGATCCATCGGCCGCGGTAACATTCACACCGCCCTTGGTAAGGTCTATATCGGTGACCTTTTTGTTCAGCAGTATCCTGTCTTTATGCTGGATATGGTCGTACAGGATTTGCAAGAGTTGCTGCCGATCAAAGAAATGGAGACCGTAACCATGTCTAACTGCCTGTGTTATAACGGAATATGTCTATCGGTGAAACAGAAGTCGACTCACCGACGCTCTAGATGTTTGAACAAATAAGACATCTTAGACATAATCTTCCCGTTACGATCCCGGATATATCCCTTGTTGAGGTGTTCATGAGAGAGTCGAGCGATGGCCTCATAGCAGCCAATTTGATCCATGATTCGCAAGCCGTTGGGAAACAGACCGATACTGGCCCCGACAGGAGGCGCAATTGCGGAATACGCCTCAAGCAGAACATATTGAATGTCAAACTTCTCTAGCATGTTCGCCAGGGTTAGACCGGCGATTCCTCCCCCAGCGATGATGACCTTAAAGTCCTTGTTTGATGCCATGTGGCCGATGGAGTTGAAGAATGCCCGGCAAGCCAGTCGTCTCTCAGAATATATCTTCCAGTATCCATATTCTTATGGGTACATCGAGCATTTAAACACCAATCCACAAACTATTCCACCCCTAGATATATTCAAGAAGATCGTTAAATTCGCTTATGTCAGCGGCTATAAGCTCTAGTTAGTTAACTAGTTACCGGCTTTTTTCCATTCTGGACATAGTTTAGCTACCAGTCAATCGTCAGAATTTAGCCCCAAGGACTCGCTTCTCAAAGATCCCGAACACCCGAAATCTTGGACTTTAATTGCATGGTTTAGGCCACCAGGATTTGGATTATCTTCATGAGGTAGGACCTATGCTGGGAATCCGGAATCGTCATATCCGTATGGCCTTGATGAGCTGTTGTCTCCACAACCGCTTGCATTAGGCCCACTGGATGCGCTGGAACTCTTATGGCCGTTATGGCCGCTGGATCATGCAGCGTTGGGTGTCTGATACCCCCGCTAGAGGAAGATCCCATGCATAAAGCCCCTTATGTTGCTAAATGAACATAACTTGGAACAGCGGAGTTATCCGGTGCCGGACGACCCAGCAAAGCCTCCGGGAATGTCTTCTCCGTGCAGAAGCCGATCGTCATCGCCTTGTTTGTGAATAGCTTCTGGGAGGTTGTGGAAGCATCCAGGCCGGATGAGATATTTCGACTCTCGTATCACCACAGGCCATACTCCATACCACCACAGAGTTGCTACCGGCCACGTTGTCTATTGCGCATGGATGCGCGGATATATCAGAATTTCCATACAGCCCCTCATCAACTCCGCATTGCCCTGCCACATCCCAACGATAAATTTGAAGTTATTCGACTTAACATACACTGCCATCAAGATGAATTCCTATTCTGGTATTGAGAAGCGCATTCTTGAAGCCTGCGCAAAAAAAAAAAAAAAAAAAAAAAAAAAAAAAAAAAGAAAAGAAAAGAAAAGAAAAAGCCCCAATTTGACCGCGGTTGCATCGATTCAATGTTCATAAAATTTCCAAAACAGCACCAGAGCAATGGTACAGGCTAAAGGTGCATGGAGTGCCCACCACATGCTACCTGACATGTGGACTGGCATTAGCAAGAAAAGAAATTAAAACAGGGAGTACACTATGACTGAAGAGAGACCCGATATGGCTAAGAAGCCCATGAGAACTTTGAGAGGGGAACCAGAGAGGGTCAACCATAGTGATCACTGTGGGATCTCTGGAGGAAGCCTGGCAGCTGAGTATTAATGGCATCTGTTTTAGAGGTTCAAGATACTGGACAGAGCACTTCTGGGAATTAGGAGCGGACACGGTGTGCCTAAGATGCTGCGGTCTTGGTCACCTCAGCTTTAAGGCATGCGGAGACTGTCCCCCTAAGTGCTTTATCTGCGCCGGCCTACATGAAGGCCTAAACCACAGCTGTAATGTGGTGAATTGTGTATCAAAACCAGGAAAGGCATGCCAGCACACACCAGTGTAATGTGGGAATTGTGGCAGAAATCACCCTGCTACTGCAGCTAATTGCCCTATCAAGAGACAGGTGCGAAAGGAGCTCAGCAAGACTAAAAGTCAGAATGCACCCATACCGAGCACACTAAATCACCTAAGGAATGACCTAGAACCAGGAAGTTCCCCCGCAGACACTATAACAACGCCTTAAATGACTGCAACTGACAACCGCCTAACAACCCCTAGGGACACCAATATGGGGGATATGCAGACGCCTAGACCCCAAGCAGGTAGAGCATCGTTAAGCATATGTTAATCATTTAACATAACTGTCGCAGGGCGCATGCTATTACTATAGCAGCCCTAGAAGTGGGGCTGGAACAACTAGCAGGCATAGTTTGTCTCCAGGAGCCCTACATTAAGCAATTCAGACATGCGGGATACTTGATATACTAGCCTGAAGAAGGGGAATATCGGAATCACTGGGTGGCAGTGGTAGTGAGGAAGGATCTCCTTAGTTAGAAGATCTTTAAGGCATGAACAGATCTTCTGAATCATCCCTATCTCATGGTCATAGGTGTCTGGGACCTGGACAGGAGTGGGAATTAAGCACGGAGGATGTGGATAATCAACTGCTATGACAACTGGTTAGGGGAAGGCTACTGCTGGTAAGGGTCAGAAGCTAGGCGCAGATGAGTAATTGAGGATGCAGAATGGGGACAACTGCTGCAGGGGAGGTGCCTAGTATTAGGGGACTTCAACGCGCACAGTCCTCTTTGGAACCCACAAACTGCAAGGCGTGCCTATGCAGGACCACTAGAATCACTGATTAAATAGCATGATTTACTAGTGAATAATGACCCTGAGGAACTGACTAGCCTAAAGAGCATGCCAGGGATATCCATTATTGACCTCTCCATTACTTCCCAAGATCTAGGCCTTCTTCCTAGGTGGCTTGTCGATCGGGATTACTCTACAGGATCTGACCACGAGCTGATCCTCATGGAATGGGATGATATAGGAGAAAATCCGTAGGGGAAATCCAATGTGGTGACAGGCTGGAGAATCTAAGAGCTTCTAGCAGATAGAGAAGCTCTAGAAAGGGCAGCTTAAGCATGGCAGGAACTAAGCAAAGATTAGCAACACCTAACAGACGCCTGTATGGAAGAGGATGTGACTGGAGAAGCTATATGGATCCAGGAATCCTTTACAGAGATCCTGGATGGACATGCGACGTGTCTATGAGTCACAGCACGCTCAAAGTGATGGTGGGGACTGGAGGTAAAGCATAGCTAGTAGATATATGCTTAGGTAAAGCATGCATGCAAATGGTCCCAGAAGGGATACGGATAACCTATATTTCTTCGGAGAGTTTGGCCAGGAAGAAGCTCTTCAGTCTCAACTTCATATCCTGTAAGTTTAAAGGTCTGGGGAGGCGGCGACTTGTGCTTTCCTTCAACCTTCTTTAGACTGTCTGACGTGTGTTGAAAGAGCATAAAGCCAGAAGGACCCCATCCATCATGTAGGAAGTTCCAGCGGAAGATACAAGGATCGCTGCAGTCATCTTCCGCCCGATAGATAGTGATGATGACCCCTCTTGGGTTATCTAGAGATATAACTCTGCTGGGCTCTATCTCCATGGAGAGCCTAGGCGTGTTTGGACTTTGAGATTTGTTAGTTTTGAACAATGTACAGGCGCACCCGTTTCCTGTATACCTCTTTCGTCTCCGGAGATGCTCTACTCCAGCTCCGTTGGGCATCCTTCTCTCGATGGGCATTGAGATCATAACCTCGCTGCTTACGGAGTTGACGGCGCTCCTCTCGTCTCTTCTCTTCCCGGGCAGCCTTTTGGGCAGCCGTTCGAGCATTGGAAAGACCGGCCATACTGGAAGACTGAAACGGAGATGAAAGTGGCAACAGAGTATGAGGACAGGGCAAGTGGAAGTACGATTAACGGAGGACCTGGAAAGTGGAAGTTTTCCCGTTGACAAGCTTGGAAAGGAAAGAATGTCATTTTATACATGCGTAACATGGGGGACCGGGAAAACACTGGGTAATCCTCCGTTAGGTTTGATTGCTTGTGAGCCATCTGAGCCTACCCCTGTATTCTGTCGTGAGACTATGATGAACAAAGTCCAGGCTAAGACGCTAGGCGCCCTGGCCTTTGTGATGCCCTCATGGAAGTGATGGTGGATCTCATAGATCTCTCCAGCTTTAGGATGTATGCGGTTTAGAGAGCACAAAAGCGTCACGTGATTTCCACATGGGCGCGAGCCTGAGCTGCTCCGGATTACTGGGCAGCATGTTGACGGGATCAGTGAGTAATCCGGGAGCTGCCGGAGTGGTTGGTGCGTGCTCAGTGCGTGCTCAGTGAGTGCTCGATGAGTGCCCGGAGCGCTCAGGGCGCTCTCACGTGCACCCCTCATAAAAGCGGCGGCACCCGTATCGGGCAATCGAACGGAAATTGCAGAAAAACAGTTCAGTTATATGCTATTTTAGTCGACCTCCTGAGTCTGAGAGCGCTTAACCCCGCTGGCCAGCGACAGCACGCGCCGCAAGCCATTGAGAGGAAACTAAAAAAAGAAAGAAAAGAGATGTGACCTAGCTCTATGAGCAGATATTATCGTAAATATCTTGAATCACAATAAGTCAGTGGGTTCTAAGTTTTTAAGAGTTAGAACCAAACCTGCAGGCCCCATTGAAATTGGTTCATCCAGGTATATTTTCAAATTCCCATTGGACCAGTCATAGCTTGATAGGAACATCACCTTGCACACTGAAAAGGGAGAGAACAAAGACGATAGTTCTCCAGAATACAGTGTGCCAGTAATGGCGAGCACTGGCACGAAGGGAGCCACAATACTGGTGTAGGAGAAAGGATGGATGAGTGCTTTGACATTGTTTGGGATTGATCTCATGGCCGGAATTTCCTATATACCCCAGTGTGGTTGATGAGCAGTTAATATCAGCGAGCTGCCTACCCCTACTACATTAATGTTCGTAAGGGAAACTTTCCCCCAAGATCCCTGCAGACTAGACCACGAGGTACCAAATTGTCCAGGCGCCTAGGTTAAGTGTCCTCTTTCAGCCTCATGGAGGTCTTAAGACACCTCGGTCACTTTCTGATGCTGCTATGCAAGGGGCAGATTTCTAGTCTGGTGCGAACCGCATTCTTGCTCCAATGGACTTCGATTCCCTCGACTCATGCTGGCCTACTGGAAGATTGCTTTGGCGCGCGGCTTGTCGATCTCACATATTTCCTCATTAGGCGCTTCAGCATGAATGATGATTTGCTTACCCAGCTAGAAGCTGTCCCCTCATGCATACGGAGAAAGCAGGCCGGCGCTTATCAATATGGTACTCCCAAGTTATTGTTCAGGACCGACATATAAAGTGAGGCATTCTCTGAGCATCGGAGCAAGATGTTCTTTCACCAGTCAAGTTGTTCGACCTTGATAGACTTTGGTACGAATTTGATCCACGAATGGGCACTCCGCTGGTCACCATGCAGGCTCTTGGGTTGGTCAAAATTGGGGATCTCAGTGAACAGCAGCGTCAAGAGGCCATTAAAGTTATCAGTTCTGAGCCTGCGCCAAGGGACGGAAAGAGGAGATGCCAAGGTTGGGTTTTTGACACCTTGCTATCACTTGAGGTGAACGAGCTTGTCCCATCTGGCACATGCCACTTCTGGAAAGAAATGGTTGGAAAGCCAGCGCGGGTTGTTCGGGCGGCTGTTGGGGACAAGTGGACGAAGTTGAAACGTTGAACTCCGCATGTATCTCAAGTTCAAATTCCAGTATAATCCACCATGGATTGATTCACCTCAGCCCAAAACTCATACTCGTCGCCGTCGAGCATAGTAGATATAAGTTCTCTCCAATCCAGATCCAACGCTTGCCACCGCAAGCAAAAGTATTCTCTTGCTGATATACTATAGCCGGCTGCGCCCCAGTCAATGATTCCGGTGATGACATTATCCTTTACCATGATATTGCTTTGGTGCAAATCGCCATGTGTGAGCACCTTCCTCTCATCCTGGCTATCAGATGCAAGAATTCTCTCCGCCAGAGGCTCATCCCTCTTGGTGAGCTTTCCATAAGGTCTGGCGTTGCGGAGAGCCTCCACGACCCCTTGGTTGAATTCCTTTCTTGTCGAAAATGGTCCATATTGACGGGACTTTGCTGCGTCCCACGAGTGCTTAAAGAGGACATCTTCGCATGGACCGCCATCAACAGGTCCAAACAGTGGCCCTTCAATCTGGCGCCATTCCTATATGAACCCTTGGAGCTATCAGACAATCAATTTTCTGGCACCTTCTGTTAAACATTCCCAGCATTCTTCCAGAGGAATCCCCGGAACTTTTTCCATCACAAGGAACCCAACATCGCCAATAGCGTAGGCGTTGAATACTTTAGGAACAGGTACTGATGTCCTTTCCCTGACAAGGCAGAGAGCCTCTGCTTCTCCCATCCAAACCATGGGCCCAACTTTTACTAAAGTTGAGGAGTTAATTTCTAGGATTTTGCAGCCGCCCATGCTACAAGGACATAGGTCTTTAGCATTTCAGATCTCATCCAGAGTGACAGTTGAAGGTGCTTAATGCCTCATTGAGGGAGCATAGCATACATTATCAACAGACAAGAGGACATGGGAGAGCCAGTCGACAATCTCCAGTAGTACAGGCTAACAGGGGGTTAGGATGTTGGATTCTGGAGGAACTAGGACGGACATACCGGGCTGTTGTTGCAAAAATCCTGAACCATTTTGGCTTTACTACCTTCAGACAGTGTTTCTAAGAGGTCCTTGCTTCGTTATATTAAAGAAATCTTTGATTGCGTGGACTATGAAGTATCACAGAGATGGTATGGCATAACTAGCGGTGGGGTGCGGGGTTGGCAGAAGCGTTGAAAAGAAGTCTTTAGGGGACAGATCATCCACAGATGTAGATTCACCCCTTGGACCGCGCTAGCCACAACGCCTTGATTTTGCCGCTGAAATGGTATTCTTGCACCCCCAGACTACCATCGCCAGCACGCGCCAGTCAGCGGAGAGGTGATCGAGGCGAGGAACATCCGGGATCAGGTCTATCTTCAGGTTCTTTCAGGTAGGGAAGAAGGCAGATGGTGGTATCGGACGATCGAGAGGTCTCGTCCGTGACCGTCGCGCATAGAGCCAGGGCCAATTCTATGGCATTGAGGCCCCGGACGAGGCTGGATATCAGTGGTGTCAAACCCGCGGCGTCATTGCTATCCAGACTCAGAACTATGGCAAAGTCGCGGTACTCCCGATTGGAATGGCGCAGGTCTCGTCAGTCAAGTTGACGGTCAATGTTAGTGATCAGGTGGAGAAAAGTGACAATATCGCCTATTTCCAATTTGGAGGCTCTGGTGTGTGTATTGTGTTCGAGAAACGCATCAAGTGGCGGCCTGATCTCTAGCCGGGCAAAACCAAGCTGAAGGTACGAGAAAGGCTGGCTACATTTCATTGATCAGGGCAGCTATTCGACGCTTTGATGCCTATTTTCTATGCATGTCACTTCAGTAACCTCATAGCTGATCATCAAAGAATCCGATCGCAGTATATGATCCGATTTCAGGCGAGCTCAAGTGGGTGGGATAGTAGACCGCTGTGTCTCCTTGAAGCCTCTAGCTGGAACTTGCGCAGTGTTTGTGGATACAGAAAAGACTAGCAAAGATGGCTTGTATCAGACAGGAAGAAGGGAATGGAATTGAGAAGTACCAGTTCTCACCCACGTTATTGAAGGCGATTACTGTGGAACTAATGACACAGCCGAGTTGCGTTAGACTTCCATACGTATGTAAAGTTAGAAATCAAACAATGACCTTTGAAGGAATGATTCGCAACGTCGAGTGGTATTACTTCATTTCGACCTCGGTGCTCAGTACTCTGGACTCGGACACTATCGAGTTGTCTAGTCACCATTCTCGCGCTCCATCATCAGTTGAAGCCTTAGTAGCGCGAGAGGATTGATATCGATGAAGCCTCTACTATCGGAGCTAATGTTCAGATACGGGGGATATGATTTTGGTTAGATGCCAATAGTGGATGCTCGCGAGGTTGATGCCTTTCCTAACCTACGATTTCTTGTTTTGAAGGACGACGCCATACCAGCCTTAGCGTGCGAGGACGTGCCATTCGGATGACACCCCGCGAGTGTCCACAGCGGGTCAACCGAGGTACTCTCGGCGTCTCCGTGTCTGGGGCTGTCATTAACGCCGCGCTAATATAGCATGACCAACCAATGGTGAAAGCCTTGGGCAACAATAAAATGATAGCTTCCCGCCAGTGAGTCGATTCCATTTCACTCCACCATCTCATATTCATCGTCATGCCGCCATTCTGCAAGATTGCCGTCATCCAGCTCTATGTCAAGGTACGTTTTATTCCTTGCATATTCGTGAACTAGATCATCAAGGGAAACACAGAAACAGTGAAAGAGGATTTCCCATTCTGTGTCAAACCTCCGATAGAGTACATGTTTCTAATGTGCTGTTCTTTAGCCGCTTAAACCCGCTGACAACTTCGCCCGTGCTGTGAAATTTATCCGCGAGGCTGCTGCGCAGGAGTGTCATTTAGCTGTCCTGCCTGAATTCCATCTCACCAACTGGGTCCCCACTGATCCTCGGTTTGCATCCCTGTGTGATGACTGGGAGACTTATCTACATCATTATCAGGCCCTCGCCAAAGAGTGTAACATATGCATCGTACCCGGATCGATAGTCCGACCTGTATCTCCCTCCCCTGTATCTCCCTCCCCTCCAGGGACGCCTGTCTCCAAGGCCGAACCAAGCCTTGAAAATGTAACCTTTTTCATCTCCAACACTGGCGAGATTCTAGGCTCCTATGTGAAAAAGAATCTTTGGGGACCCACGGAGCGAGCGTACCTTTGGTCATCCAAGGACACCCCACACCAAGTCATCTCGACACCGCTGGGTCCTGTGGGCTTGCTGGTGTGCTGGGACCTGGCCTTCCCCGAGGCCTGGAGAGAACTTGTTTCTCAGGGAGCGAAGATCATCATTGTACCCACGCTGTGGACTCGCAGCGGCGCATCTGAGGCCGGCCATCGCCAGAATCCTTCTGCGCCCTCCTTGTTTCTTGATAGCATCCTGACTGCGCGAACATTTGAGAATACCTGCGCTGTCGTGTTTGCCAACGCAGGCGGGCCCCCAGGGAGAAACTACTGCGGTCTCTCCCAGATTAACATTCCGTACGCGGGTCCCCTGGTTCGTTTGGGTACTTCCGCTGAGGGAATGGGCGTGGCGACAGTCGATATGGCAGTTTTGGAGGATGCGGAAGAAAACTACGCGATTCGGTCCGATCTGAACGACCCTTCGTGGCATTATAGACATACCCGCCGGATTCCGGCAGAATCGACCAAAGGGAGGCTATAGACAGGCGGGAGGGCGGTTTATAAACCGACAGAAGGTTCGGAAAAGATCCCGGATAAGACTCCGGGAGAGGATGTGGGCGAGAAAGCTTTGTGGCAGGGGATGCCGTTCATCTGGCGAGTCATTGATCCTCGGAAATTTCTATACTACCTGTAGCCTTGATGTCGTGTATGGTGAAGCGGTGCGTCGTCTAGATGTTACCGGTTCATGGAGTCGTTGTGAGTATATATGATGCACAATACTTGATATATAAATATATTGATGTGCGTGTGTCTGTGTGTCTGCGAGTTTGACCCTTTAGAAACATAAACCTATACTTTTGGATGGTCTTCTTATTATTATACTATCTCGCTGTGCTGGTTCCTCCAGTAAAGAAGGAATGCAACACGATCCGCGGGCGTCACTGTTCGTACTTTCTGCCAGTGTTTAAGTACAACATCCACGGCAGGCAAGTTCAGTTGACACTGGCGGTCATAGCCGCTCACTAGGATCGACACCGGATTCAATGAGCAGAATTCGAGCATAAGGGGAGACAGAGCGCAGGTCGCTGTATTCGATGATGTGCTTGGCAGAAGCCTCCAGCTAGTTACAGACAATGACAAGATGCCCAGGCAGCGGCTTGTTGGGCTTCAGAGCCAGGTGCGTGTGCTATGCGAGTGAATGTGGGATTAGAGACCTGCTCAGCATTCACCCTCGGTTTTTCGGTAGATTGGGCCTACTGGAATTATGCAAGGGGAGTATTGACAGGGTGCCTATATGCTGGGCGATGACACCAGACGTCCTTTGGTTCTCTGCGGTGCTCCTTTTTGGCTGGATTCGCGTCAACTCCGTTGCCTCCTTTGTTGTTTTCTGCATGCTCTATAGTATCTTCTCTAGCGTGCTCATCTCCGCTAATCCGCTGGTCATCGCCCGCCTGGTAGTCTCACCTACTCCTTCAGTGATTGGGACGCGCATGGGCAGGCAGTGGTTTGCAACCAGTCTCAGTGTGCTGATTGGAGCGCCGATCGCGGGTGTCTTGAGGGTCACGGAGGAGACAATGGTTTCCTGGCCCTGCAAATCTTCAGTGGAGCAGCGATTCTGCTGCTACCCATGATGGCAGTTTGGCGTCATGATCGTACGCAAAACAAGGCTGATTGAGACTTTCGAGTCCTCCTTTTTCTCGTTATCATCCGGCTAACATCAAGGAGGGAAAGCAACGAGGCAAAATGTCAGAGTGGGAGATTTCAGCATATAATACAGGTTTTATATACAATGAGGGTAACTAGACTGTCAGCAGACATAAGCTATATGGAGATCCACGATAGCTAGAATCTCTGTCGTGTGAGGGCGGACAGAAGCGCGAACCCGACCGGGATCAAGGTATTTTAGAAGCCATATTCTTGTCAAACCTCGGTCGAGCTGACGGTAAAAACACATTACCTGAAACCAGACCTCCATAACCTCCTCCCCCAACTAACGAGGAGGACACACCTTCCTATAATGTGACCAAGGGCCAGCGGTAGTCCAAATTTGAACAATGTGAAAGGTTGCCAAAGCCTGACTGTGGGCACCGTTATGGCATCGCCTCGTGTGCTCGTAGATTCATCTTCCACTTGCTTCCCTGTAAACGCCTGGACAGCCTCCAGTATAATTCTCGCCGTCACATCTGGCTGACTCAAAAACGGCGAATGGCTGGTCTGCAGCTCCCTATGCTCCACACTCCCGCCCATTTCTCTTGCCATACCGACCTGCATGCGTTGCGCCAACACCGGCAAACCGCGATCCTCGACGGTCCCAATATACCAGACAGGTACATCCTTCCAACCAGCATACGCATGCTCACCACCCTCAAACAATGCTTTGAGGCTCTGGGTCGCCAGTTGAGAAACCCAGAAGTCTGCCTCTTCGGCAGGCAAGTCGTGATAAAAGAGCTCACGTGGAGGAGTGACAAGCTCAGCATAGCCGGTCTCACTATTGGCACGCCAGGACGGGGGTGGACGGCCGAAGAATGGGTCCATGAAGGATAGTCCTGTTAGAGTAAAGCCAGAGGCTATAAGGACCAGGCCGATAACGTACCCCGTTGTCGGGTTGGTGACGTTTTGTGGCCGCGTGAGACCCTTGATAGCGCTATTGCCAACCATGCCGCCATACGAGTGCGCAAGGACAACCACATTGCGCCCTTGGGTTGTCTTGCTGGATATAGCTTCTCGGGCAGCATCAATATCATCTTTGAATGTCGCAGCTGGGTTTCCCGTCGTTGATGGGAGGGAAATTGAGACACATTTTAACCCATGCTGCTCGTGAAGGAGTTTGGTGACCTTGTCATAGCATGTGGGTTTATGCCAGGAGCCAGGTATGAAGACTAGTGTTGGAAGATTAGACATCTCAGAATGACTATACTGATACAAATAGTATGCGGTGGCACTTTTTTTTTGAATATACTGTTTGATCAGCGCAGAATGCAGCCAAGGTTCTCATGGTGGGTGTTCCCATGTGGGAAAAAGCCTAATAACAGGGGGGGAACTGTGTCAGCACGTGACCAAGTGACTCATTCTGGAGTGCTTGTAGTGCTACACAGACAGCCGATCAGGTTTCTACCTCTACATACTGAGTTTTGCCCTGTTCATTACCTTTGCTTCCTGGTGTCTATTTAGAAATCTATCTGCCTGCTCAAGCGGATGGCCCTCAGTATTTGCCAACGTTCAACAGTGAGACTGACGTTAACATAACAGCTGACCTTGTGGATCGGCATCGTATGGTTCAAACTACGTAGTGGAGCAGCCAAGAATTATGGGGGAACTGGTCGTATTCGGCTGTCCAACACTCCAACTCATCATACATCGATTTCCCGATTTGGCAACTCTCGTACTCGCCCATATTGCAGCACCCCCATTAGAATATAAATATCATGCAAGGACCTTGATTCTGCAGTCCTGATCATCAACACAAACCCTACAACTTCTTATCACACCAATCATACACCCCTTCATTCAAGCGTTCAAATTGACCATCGAACCTGTTGAGCACCCATGATCCTCCACGCTGGAAACCTTCTCTCGGCTGTGGGAATCCTCACCATTGTAGCAAATGCAGAAGCCCATCACCGGCGTCGATGTGCTTATGGTGACGACTGCTGGCCGGATTCTCAGACTTGGAATGACTTTAACGCCACTGTTGGTGGGCGGTTGATTCGGTCTTTTCCATCTGCTGCTGTGTGCCATACCCGGAGGTATAATGCCAACCAATGCAACATAGCAAAGAAGAGTTGGCTAGATAGCTTTTGGCGAACCAACCAAACAGGAGCTTATTCAGCGACCGTATGGGAGATGGGAAACACCGGGCAGTGCTTTATGGATACTCCTGTGAGCGCTCCCTGCCACCAAGGGCTAGGTAATACTGAAGAGAACCCGGCACTTTTCCTCGCTGATGATGTGTGCTCCACTAGTGCCGTACTATTCTGTCCGGGCGGAGAGTGTGGAAGATATCCAGAAGACTGTGAAATTTGCTAGCGAGAAGGATCTGTCACTTGTCATCAAGAACACAGGACATGACCAGTGAAGCATACTGCCTTGATTATCCATGCGACGCACAGCTAACCAGCTGCACAGCCTCGGTCGATCAAGCGGTAAAGGGGCCCTTTCACTCTGGACTCATAATATCAAGGGCATCGATTGGCATGACTCGTTTGTCCCACAGGGAGCACCTGCTGCTGTCAATGGTATACCTGCTGCAACATTGCAGGCTGGAGAGCAATGGTTTGGTAGGTGAATTATTCTACTGGTTACGATACTCATATGGTGGGCTTCGGCACTGACGCAAGCATGTAGACGTATACCAAGCTGCAGCAAAACAGGGAGTATTAATAGTCGGAGGATCAGCGCGTACCGTCGGGGCCGCCGGAGGATATGTGCTGGGAGGAGGCCATTCGCCATTTGCACATTACTATGGCCTCGCTGCCGATAGTCAGTGACAAAAGCCCATTCTCCCTGTGAGGACTGACTAATAGGAGCACAGACGTTTTGGAGATGAGCATTGTTTCTGCTGATGGACGACACCGAGTGATCAATGCGTATTCGGATCCCGAGTACTTTTGGGCTGTTCGCGGCGGCGGGGGAAGTGCCTGGGGTGTATGTGATCTATGCTATATACCAAGGCGACTGATATATTGGTTTGGCGCTGACCTGTTCATACTCAGGTTGTTACATCGGTGACTTACAAAACTCATCCTGTCCCACAGAACCTCACCATTGGGTTCGTTCAACTGAACGCAACCAACAACTCCAGCTCAACCCGTCTCATTTCTGAATCCCTGAAACTCATTCCAGCCGTTACAGACGCAGGCTATACCGGGTATGGCTCGTTTGCGCAGGGGTTCCAAGCGATCTTCCTTCAACCCAACGGCACAATAGAATCTTTCAACCGGACTTTTGCTCCTTTTTCTAATTTGACACAGCTTCCCGGTGTCACTGGAGCGCTTGCAGCCTATTCCTCCACCTGGAACGACTATTTGAGAACCTTCCTGCAAGACCCTAATATCGGGACCAACATTCAGGACACGTCACGACTTTTGACAGCGGACATAATCCGGGAAAATGCCGACGGTTTGGCGCAGTTTATTGTCGACAATGATCAAGCTGCAGGATTCAACTTTAGTAAGAGGGATCCTATTTTTAGCAGTTGGTTCCATCATGCTGATCCGTCACTCCTTTAGTTGGCAAAGTCAACAACAAGGAACGCGACAATACTGCCGTCCATGAGATCTGGAAACACAGCCACGCGCTTCTGAGTATCTCGGTAAATTGGCTGGATAACGCAACAGCCTGCGAGAAGGAAGAGAAGCGACACCAGATGGTGCAGTTGAGCAAGCGCTTTACTGACATTGTTGGCCCAGATGGAGGGACATATGTGAATGAAGCCAGTCCGTGAGTGATTCGTGACCTCTCTTCTTAGCCGTTCTAAGTGAATTCATCTCACATGAATCTTAGGTACGAACCCCAATGGCAAAGAGTCTTCTGGGGAAAGAAGTATGATCGCTTGCTCTCTGTCAAGAAACGGGTGGATCCGACCCAGTTGTTTGTGTGCAATAGGTGTGTCGGGACAGACTTGGTGCTGCAGCCCTAGACATGTTTACGCGATTGACTAGGCTCTTGACACCCCAAGCATCTCTTTTAATTGCACTTTGCTAGCGAAGAGCCGGTATAGTCTTGGGCCGTGATGTCATTTCCATCCGTCTGGTAGGCCACCGCAGAGATTGTTGGGAGGCCGAATAGGAACCATACGAACACCTTTCCAGAATCCACTCCAGAGGCGGTTTTGATGTGGTCGTCGAGTCTAAGGAGGATAAGAGACGTGGTGCGAGCGGTTTGGCTTTATATATTTATAATGCACATTGAGCTTTTCGATTCCCAACTTCTATTCCTGCGATGTTTCCTTGTCCTATCAAAACATATTATGAATAAATCCAACCACTACTCAAGTCACTCGCAAGCAGCGGACAGACGGTGAACACTTGAGGCTCACATGTTGACAGGATTGGATCTAGAATCCTGAGTGATCAGGGCATAGAGCTCCACCTCAGTAATAAGCTTAGGCAGCCACGGAGCCGAGATTTACCTGTTGAAGAGCTGCCTGATCCGTGAGCAGCCCTTAACATCCCAAGATTAGGTCTAGGATCCACATCTTTCACGAATGAATGGAAGGCTTCTGCAAAGAGACTAATAATACGAGACACAGTCCTATCGTTTGCCTCTGATGCTGTGGAAATGAAACATGCCAAGCATAGATACGAGCAATGACCAAAGTTTAGGGAAATCGGTCTCTTGTCGATCTGGTATTTTAGTTTCTCAAGTACCCCCGTCTCTCTTGAACACCATTTCCTAGAAGCTCTCAATCTTCGCAAGGACAAGAAGGAACCAAGATTGCAGAATACACAACGATGGGATTTATCGAGTCCAAGAGCAAAAAGGCAATGTCGCCAGTACACAGCTTGATGGAAGAGTGCAACAGATTGATGGACGAGAATAAGTGGCATGAAGCTCGAGACAAACTGAGCCATGCTGTTCAACAACTTGGGGAATCTCAAGGCCTTGATCACGAGGACACACTGTTCATGAAGACCAATCTGGCTTACGCTCTTCGTCGCCTTGGTGAGTATCAGGAGGCAGAGCGCATGGATCAGCAAGTGTATGCCGTTCGACTCCAAGTCTCCGGGCCTGATGACGTTGAGACGGCGAAATCCCTAAACAACCTCGCGCTGGATCTGAAAGGGCTCGGTCGATTTGATGAGGCACTGGACCTGGAAGAACGAGCATTAGAGGCATTTCTGAAAATCAATGGGGAAAGCTCGCGAGAGACACAGACCAGCATGAACAACTTGGCTAACAGTTTCCACCGACGCGGACGCCTGCAAGACGCTGCCAGGCTGCATGAAAGAGCCCTTGAGCTGCAGACCTGCACTCTTGGCAAGGAGCATTTTGAGACAATCATCACCATGGATCTGCTCGGGGTGGATTACCGCGAGCTCGGCCAGCTCGATAGAGCCCTTCATTATCAAGCCGAAGCCCTGGAACTCTCCAAGGCCAATCTGGGGGAGGCTCACGCAACCACCATACGATGCTCGGCCAACCTGGCAACCACATACCAAAGGTTAAACACGGAAGACGGCAAAGCCAAGGCATTGGCTCTACTGGAGCAGGCCTTGGAGCTTTCGAGGCGGACCTTTGGCGAGAATAGTTCGGACACGGTGCCGGTGATGAATAATCTCGCCACGGCATACGCCAGAGCGGGCCGCTTTTCTGATGCTGTGCCTCTATTGCAGTCGGCGTATACATGGAATCAGAGGACGCTGGGTCCGGATCATCCGCAAACTCGAGCTTCAGAAGGCAACCTCAACTATGTGATGGAGAAAATGGGTCTAACTCGTGCTACAGTCTTTTAATACATGAGTACTTCCCTATCCATGGGGATTAATAAATACCTATCTACTACAATTCAACAAGTGTCGTCTGTTGTCTGAATAGGGCTAACTCTGCTCTATACAAAGCCCAGCACCCCTGAAGAACAGCAGTGGTACTCACCCACTGCATGTGTAAAGTACATATCTCCCTTCCGTATCCTTTGCAATTGACATTAGTTCTGCTCGATGACACCAGATTTTTCGAGCCACGCCTGGTTTAAACGAAAATATCATTTTGGGCACCTTGCGAGAGGTTTATTATTAGCAAATAGTTCTCACTACAAGGTTGAGTCGATGAAGACATACCATTCTTGAAACCCCACGCCGTGTTGTACATCGGTGTCTTGCCATTGGGGACTTGGACGTTGTTCCCAGTTTGCTCTATGACTTCAAGTTATTTCTGACCATAGCTCTAGAAGAAAGGCTGACTCACGGTTGAAAGCAATCATTTGCTTAGCACCCTTGACACACTTGCTGCTATCATCCGCACAATAAACAGGGACTTTAGCGGGGGCGACCTTCTTAGAGGAGGTGGACCCGGTGACATTGCATTTATAACCAGCCATGTACCTGGCTCTCGTCAGTTAACAGCCTGGAACTGAATTACGGACACTTACATATTAGGCTGTCCACAGCCGTTGGGGACCTATTTGGTGTTAGTTAGATAAAACGTGACTGACATTCATACACTTACCCAGAGCCAAGCACATGTGCATCCACCAGGAGGACAAGCCGGAAGATCCTTGGGCACTTCATAGGTAGCGATCCGCTTCCACGGCGTGCTGGATACCGATATTAGAACCTAGAGCTGTAGTGCATAGACGCTACTTACTGCTCCAAAACTGTAAACACAGCCAAATTCTCCATCGTTACCGCCGAGAGGTCAGACTGATAGCTGATGGCAAACGCAGTGCCAGCAGCCATGGATTGGTTGTTGGTATGCAATGCTCCATCATCCTGGATACAGTCGGGCGGGTTACCAGGACCAGCCCAGTCCTCGGGGTGCTCTTTTCCGTCCGGCCATTCCGAGGTATACTTTCCACCGTATGAGAGCGTAGTCTGCGCGCGGTTGTGTGCAAGTTCTACCATGAACTTTCCACCCGCCGGGAGTTCCAGGATGTCGCCATCTGCTGGAGGTACTGCGTCACAGCCGCGGTCGTGTTGGAACCACCAGTCTTCCTTCTTGAGATTGTACAGGGGATTCACGGCTGTGTTTGTATTGGCGTTGTCAGTCGAAGGGTCGGGGCCTCCCAGGCAGTACATGCCTTTGACCCAAGCGACGGTGTGTGCTTGAGCGACAGCACTCAGTGCGAGGAATGCAACGGGGCGCAACATAATGAGTGAGCAGAGATCTGGGGAAAAGTAGGAGTGAAGAGCGTGAGTATTGTTCGAAGGAAATGATTTCAATTAGGGAAAGTAAGGTAGATATACAGAAAACATGAGGGTGCGACAACGAAAGCCTCATAATAACTCTGGATGTGACCGTGCCATGCCGTCCGGGGTACACTTGCCGTGTTCTTGACTGGCTATTAATCTTGTTTCAGATTCTCTACCGAGCGGCAATTGCGTTACATCCGGACGCTATACATGAAACACCGGCATAGGAGCTTAGTCTCGGAACCTAAATTAGCTATGGCATTCCGGCATTTGGACTGTCAAATTCCTTATTGCAAGGGACGATCGCAGGGTCCAGCAAGACCTGCGTCAAAAGTATTACCGATCCTGCTGAATTGTCGCCGCCCCTGAATCTCAGCCACTTTACCCTTTGTTTCATGATATTTGATTAATGATCTCAGATGAGATTATGCTTGTGATTATTCTGTCGACGGTTTTGAAAGAGGAGTAGTCCTGATGGCATGTGCAGCATTGTAGATACTGGGCCGACAGCCTGTCCTTGCGATGCTGCATAAGAAAGCAAGGGGTACTCGCAGCTAAAAAGTACACATTGTTGATGAAGCACCAGTCGACCATACCGGTCGGGCGAGACGCGTCCAGGACATCGGAATCCTCGAATAGGCGGTGCTGCAGCCGCAGGATCTCCAAGGTCGCCTCAATCACGATACTCCAGGACTGATTGCTGGCAGTTGTATCCTACGACGTACCGAGGAATTTCCAGTTGACGAGGGTCCGGGCTCTTTGGTAATGCATGTAAAAGTTTATCCGCTGTTGGGCAAGGGCATGTTAGCAGCTCCATTCACCATTGCTAGGGCTGTGTACATAGCTAGGGGGTCCAGCAGAGATTCGCACATGCGTCGGAACTTGCAAGGACCGGGAATGGTTGCATACGTCTGGTCTGGCTTTGCCACAGCCATACATGGCCTGAAGACCGACCCTGAAGAAGCCAGAGTGCCTATTCCCGGCGACGAGCGAGGCGATGCCGGTCATGCCACATAAATAGAAGATAATGGCCCTCCGGATGGCGGCGTCGCAGCATGGTTGTTCGTCTTGGGGGCGTGGTGCTGCTCCTTCTCCAGCCCGGGTTGGATCAACAGTACGTATTTCCCTCTCCTGAGTGCCTTCTTATAGCAGCGACGGACAAGAGCAATGGCCTTTTACAGGCGTCGGCAGCTTCCAGCAGGCTATCGGATAGGCGTAGTCATCCTGGCCATTTCGATCGTTGCTCTCACCATGGCACCCATCGGGGGAGCCATTCTGCAAAATTCGGCCAACGGCTGGCTGAATGTGAAGACCTTTGGCGGCGTCATGTGTCTCGCTGGGTCGGCGATTGTTCTGCTATCGAGGTGGCTCTATACCGAGAAGAAACTTCTCAGGGTGTTTTGATTGAAGGAATATTGGGAGCGGCTGTTCTGGCGTGCTACGGCTCGGTTTAAAGCTAGAGGCATTTTTCTTCTCGGAATTACCATTTCCGGGGTTGATAGATCTCGTTGGTCTTGACCGCAATGTACCACTACTTTCATAATCTGTTGTAGAATTATCATCCATTGTTGTCTTTGTTCGCTGTAGGAGAGTATGACTGCAATGCCACGACGCAATTCCGTATGTGTAAGGCACAGAGAAGAGTTTTCAACAGTTATGGCTGAGTTCTGTTATTTAATGTGACTGCCATCCCCGGATAGGCAGCGCTATATTGCCAATTCGGCTTCTACAGGGAACAAACGAGCCTATCATACCAATCGTTCTTGGTCTTATGAATGTCTTAGACAACTCATATACGCGGAGGCTGCCATATAGTGAGCACATTTCATCCTCTTGAGTAGAGGTATATATATATATATATATATACATCATCTCCTACTTGTCGCTCTGGGTATTGCTTTCACATCCTTCACCTCTTCCCTCATCCAGCTATATCGCTAGTTCATTTACCCAATGTAGTGAACATCATTCCCGCAAGTTGAAGATGGTAAGTCTGCCCAAATCGAGAGCGTGAATGTTTAGTAACACGTATCAGGACGACTATAGCGAAGAGCTCCAGCAGAAGAACACTGGTCTCACACTGGGATCCTCCAAGGACGAGGTTCGTGACGTCTGGAAGCAAATCCTGGAACATCACTTTCCCAAGAAAAGCGCTGATTGCCCTGGTGGAGGATTCGCTCACAAGTACTCCGACTACGACGAGAAATTCCCACACTGCGGCATTGTCAATTCTGTGAGCATTCATACCTGCCCGTATTCCATGTCTACTGCAGTCACTAGCCGCCGCCGCAGAGGAAAGCGGATCACCAGGTTCTGAGTGTCCCTTGCGAGCTTTGGAAGATGGAGTTAAAATTTGAACTCGTTGAAATCGTGCCACTAATCAAAGAACGCAAGCCGAATCTCTACGCAGCCATTGTTGCAGGCCCTTGGTACGCTTCTGCAGAGTGAACAGAAAGGGTGAATTTTGGATTTCGGCTTTGACGACGAGGAGGACGCGTGGAATATCCATCATGATTACGATGCCATTCTTCAAGATCTGCTGGAGATTCGTGCTAAAATTGATCCGGTGTGCGTTGTTCCCTATGGTGTTTCAACGGTTTGTGTCAAGGAGGAAATCTGTTGACGGATGTCGCCGTGAAAGTCTTTTGTCCTGTTTTATACTCCATTGTCTTGATTGTGGTCATGGTTTTGACCCTACTATGTGCCGAGTTGGTTGTCGATATTGAAGTTATGTTAGTCCTTCCAGTCATGACCATTTTATGATTCTAGTCTTCATCCTAAGTGGTAGATTATGTCGACTCGATATTGAAAGACAGATCCTGGAAAGAAGTGGCACGAAATACTTTAGTGAGGCCTCTTTAACTTGCGATCATTCTCTTGTTAAAAACATATTATTGTCTTATGTGGTGTCGCACTTCTCTTTGTCTTCTTTTGCAACATGCCCTACTCGAAAAATGCCACCTCAGGCAACCAAGAAATAGAATCAGGACAATTGGCGATGCTCATTAGATTTATCTTATTGTCTCAGACATTTCAGTGTCTTGGATGTCGTCGCTCAAATCGTAGAACTGCTCTGAGAAGGAGTATAAATACCACCTTATGTCTGCTGCTGGACTTCTCTATTCAGTACTCAACTCCTTTCTTCATCTTCCGACTGCGATTACACTAACTTTTCCATCCAAGACCTGTTTTCATCATGACTACGGTAAGTTCATTCAGCAGTACCGCAAGAGAGACATGCTAACAAATTCTAGGACCAGTACACGATAAGAGAATGGGAGCAGATCTCCTATCTCTGCCCACAATCAAGCCAGGAACACGTTCGGGAGGTATGGAATCTGATCCTTAAACCCCTCTTCCCTCATGTACCGACTGGTGGTAAGTGCTTTACCGTGACGGATGAGGATGACCAAGATAGATTTCCCCAGATCTCGGTTACTAATCTGAGTGGTCGGTTCCCAACCCTCCCACTCTTCAAGGTCTACTGCATCGGATTTTCCGACCCAGACACGGATATGTGGAGGGTCTTGGAGGATGCAGTTCAGCTCGATCTACTCGAGGCGTCGAGCTTTTTGGAGGGAAAGCCTCGGGCAAGTCTTTTTGCAGCTATTGCAGTTGGCCCGCTTGTACGTTTCTACAGACTGGATGAGGAGGAATATTTTTGTTATATTGAGTATCGCGATCGAGATGCGTACGACGTTCACAGGGATTTCGACGTCATTGTTGAACATCTGCTTCAGATTCGGGGGGCTATGGCGTGAGCACTGATGTTTGGTTTATTACCTTGGTTAGGTTTGTCATTATTATTGTTGTCCTTCAAATGCTATATCCAATACGAACTGAAATCTAAGTATCGATGACAATAGACTAATTAGATAGTCTCTCGGTGCGTAGCCGACGTGACGCCCTTCAGATCATGTGTGATATCAACTGATTCCGGTTCTTCGACATCTTCCACTAACCTCGTCGGTCCGTCGAATATGACGGCTACTTGTTCCAGCGTGTAGCCCTTGGTTTCGGGGTATAGAAAAAACGCGGTGACACCGAACAGCAGCAGGACCGCAATAAAAACCAAGTAATACTTCCATGCAATAGCCTCCAGGGCGATTGGGTTGACGAAAATATTGAAGAACGCGGCAGAGATAGTGGACATCCAGGTTACGGCCAGACCTCGGGATCGAAGACGGAACGTCCAGATTTCGCACGGATACGCGGTAAGCAATGGGGTTCTAAGATTGGATTAGCCGGATGGCAAGAATACATCAGAGGGAACATACACAGCAACGCCATAACCAGCAAAGAAGATGAAGAGGAAGGGTACGACAGCAACCCCCCTGGCTGCATGGCGAGTTACCGCGAAAGAACTCGATAGTGCCGTGACGACGACGTAACTGACGAGCATGACCATGGCAGATGAAAGGAAGAGTGGGCGTCGCCCGAATCGGTCAATTAGCACCGAACCTACAATGGCAAACAGGAGGTTCCACATCTGCATGCAGGCCAATATGAGCGTCTGATCTCTGACGCTGGTCACCCCGACCGTATTGAGAATAAGAGCTAGATAGTATGAGATGACACCATTGCCGACCCATTGGGCGAAAAACCCCAAACTGAGGGAGATCAGGAGTCGATGACGATTCCCCGGAGTACGGAACATGTCCACATAACTGGCGCCCTTGTGGGCATCTTTCTCGGCTCGAATCGTCGCGCGGATCTCGTCGAATTCGGCATCGACCAAAGATGAGGGACGGCCGCCTGCATGATACCGCGTGAGAATGGCATGCGCCTCGTCCTCGCGCCCCTGAGAGATAAGCCATCGAGGACTTTCTGGAGCGAGAAGGAGCCCCGGCAAAGCAACGGCCGGGAGAAGAGCTTGCAGAAGCGATGGAAGGCGCCAGGACCACGACGAGGAATAGGATCGGATCCCAAATATAACCCACCCAGAGACACTGCCCCCCATATACCATCCGGTCATAAACAGCGAGTTCACAACGCCCCGGTGTCTGGGATGCGCTATCTCGTTGATGAGCAGGGGAGCCGCGATTGCGAAAAAACCAGACGCCGCACCGATAGACAGGCGGGCCAGCAAGAAAGCCGTCGGGTTTGGAGAGGCGGTCTGCAGTACTGAACCGAGAATCATAAAAATATAACCGACGTAGAGACCCGGCTTGCGTCCGAGCCGATTCGAGACCCAGGCGGCAATAGGGGACCCCACTCCGCAGCCTAGCAGGATGATTGCATTGATCCATCCTAGTTTGGCGCCGGTCGGATAGTCCATGAAACGGTTCCACTCATTCAAAGCCTGCAAGCCGTTCATGAGAGAGCCGTCGTAGCCATTGGCCGAAGAGAAGAGAACCAGGGAGAAAATCATGTAGTTGAGATACAGTAGGTGAGGCTGACGGTACCATGCTGGATCTGTTGAGCAAGAAACAACAGCTATCTCAGTCTCCACAGCTGTCTTCCTTAGAGTGTCGGGTTCAGGACTTGCCATGGCCTGATTACCCGTGGGATGCGTGCTACACAGCATGATGAGCCAGACACTATTGACTCGGGTATCGCTTTTTTGTTGAGGACATATTGTCGGCAATGTGGGGATATAAAGGAGTAAAATCCAAGAGACTCGGATTCCCCCCTCCTGAACACAGTAAAAAGCTTCCTAAAAGCTTCCTGATCAGCCACCCAAGGGGTCCACAGGTTACAGGTCAGGTGCCGGGTCAGAAAAGCCAAGACGCCGCCCTAGTCAAGCACATGACTGACTTTGCCGCTTTCGGCATTAACAATACCAGGTTTTAATTACCCGGCATCTGACATTTATGAAATCATAACGATATTGAAAGAAACAACAATTACTTCTTGAGTACTTTCCAACTGATTATAGCATTTCATTATTCATTCGTAATTTCGCTCGCCGTTCCATAAGTTCCAACTCTTTTTCTTCGTTTTGTAGCTGCTTTGCCTGATTTTGCAGCTGTTTTTCTCGTATTTCTTCTTCTTTGTCCTTCAATCGAAGCTCAAGCTCGCGAAGCTCTAAGGCTTGTCGTTGTTGCTCAATGTTCAGTATATTTTGTGAGGAGATCCGACGAAGACCTTGAGAGGTAGATGACACGGAACTAGTTAAGAACCAGTTAATAACCAGTTGATAGCTGATTAGAATTACGCTTACCCTGAAACCCGTGATTGGGATTGAGATCTTCGAGGTTGTAATTCTTGTTGAGAATCAACTGATAAATGAGCTGAAGATGAGCGACGACGCTTCCGTGATTCTAAGTGATTTGAAATAATTAATGAAGAATGCCACAATGATCAAAATGCCGATATATTTTCTCACCCTCCCGTGCCGTATGGCGCAAATAATTAACTTCCATATTTGCTGTTCGATATGAATGATGAATTCCGAAATGAGTCCGATTTATATATTGAAGAACGTCCTGTTTGTCAAGCTTTGCAGAACTACAAGAATGTTATTAGGAAGCACCTAAAACTGGTTAGAAACTAGTTTTCAATTACTTACTTCTGAATTGCTGTTACTAATGTTAATCGTTTGCCTGCTGCATTAGCCTTATGATGAGACTGTTCAGCAGAGTTAGTATGATTCCGAATAGAATCATAAATAGAGGAAGGGATATTAGAGCAGCATTTATTAAGGCCAGCTTTAATAACTGGTTGCCTTTTATGCTCTGCCCAGGTCTGCACCTTCGGTTCTTCGTGTGCTGAAGCAGTTAATAACTGATTATCAACCAGTTGAGAAGTACTTACTGATTAATAGATCACACAATTGATCATAATCTCCTTCGGACTTGCAGTCAATCAAACCAGCCATTCGACTCCATATTCCTGATCCTTTGTTATTGTTCCCAACTGCTTCTGTGATTGTTCGAAGGAAGTGAACACGGCAAAAGATAATGATTCCCTTTAATTGCCAGAGAATTGGGCGGTGGAGAGGGTCAATCTCTTGAAGAAAGCGTCCGAGGCCTAAGCAGTTAGCAAGTACTTTGCAAGTATTTTATAGCCAGTCACTCACCAGTATACTGTTTTGTATCCATATCCACAACGATTCCGTATATTCCAGTAGAATGTATAGAATTGAACTTGACTGGCTCGCCAGTGATTTTCTGAATCAGAGAGAATACTCTTCTGAATAAAAGATAATAGCCATCTGTCGTTTCTTGATTTGTGAAGACTCGAAAAAGGGTGATAACTTTTATGACTACTCAGTACTCCGCCAGGGTGTAATAATCATCATGAAGTACTTACTTTTTCCATGTTCATGCAGATAAGTTGCAAATATAACCTCATTTATTTCCTTTTCTCGAATGCGCTTGTATGACATGTCAACTTCAAAAGAAGTTAACTGAGTTAAGAGCTGGACTTGCTCTTTGAACGCACAGAGAATCATGATTCCCTGCGGATCATGATATTTCTCTTGAATATATTCCTATAACTGATTAGTAACTGAGTTACAAATGCTTGACGACTGGTTTATAAGCACTCACCCGAATAAACGGATTTGTATTATATATATATGAAACCCCATTATAACCCTGACCTGCAGGGTATGAAAAAAGTCGTTGTTTCTGGATAATAGCAGATATGCGATCCAGATTGGAAAAAGATGCATGTATTTCTGCAGGTGTAGAGGCATTATGTTGAGAACAAAAAGCCTCCAGTTCTGGACTTCGCAGAAATTGAGCTGTTAACCAGTTAGTAACCAGTTTTGAAGTGACTAAAACATATTCAGCATGTACCTCGAGTGAGACTTGGGTTTCTCATCTGTCTGATTATATTCTGAACTCCTCTTAATATAAGCTCTGGTGGCTTATGTGGTGGAGGTGGAGGATGTTGATGGATTCCATGAGATGTAAAAACAATATAAGGACAATCTTGAATATCAACTGGTACCAGTGCAGTAAAAGTAACATCACATTTAAGATGTTCTAATCTACCAGGTCCCTGAATATGATCAAAATCTAAGTATTTTGTAAGTACTAAAGAATGAGTTTTAAGGTAATTCTTAACTACTTACCACAATGCTTTCGGCGTGATATTAATGGCTCAACAACAGCACACTCTTCCTGAGATGGCAGGATTGAATCATTGAATAACTGCTCTAGAAAGTCAAGATCAATCGAAGTATGACCTTTAACAGAGCTATAGTGATGTTTTTGGAGGAAGTCTGATGTTCCATTTACACACCCAATATATGGATGGTATTCATCATTCACATCCTATTGAATCAGTTAGAAAATGGTTGGCAACCAGTTATCAAGCAGTTATTTATCTTACAGGATAAAAATGCCTCTTGAACTGTGGCGCACAGGTTGGAAGTTGTTCAAGACATGCAAAACCCTTTTGAAAGAATGTTTTCTTGGATCGATACAGACTAATTCATAAAATTATTCAGTAAGTACTTACAAAACAGTTGCAAAGCAGTTCTTAATTACTTACCTATATGCATTTCGCTTTCGAACATCCCTTTCGATCAAATCAATATTCTTTCGAATATTCTGGATTTCCTCCCATGCATTTTCGTCAAGGTAAGTATGATATAGTGTACGAAGACTTGGCTTCAAATATTCGCATATTAAAGCTCCAGAACATCTCCACATCCACTTTTTTACTGAACAGTTCAGAAATGATGATCTAACACTCGCTCTGGCACCACGGATACTTGCTCGGGAGTATTGTATCTTCCAATCAGTTAGTAACCAGCTGAAAACTGCTTGATAACTGTTCGTATACTTACATCTTGTACTATATGCTCTGCTTCCTGCAATCGGCCAACAACAGATACAATGTAGGTATACCCGTGTAGGTGAGTTCTTGGGTACTCTGGCAGATCATCTGTATACTCAATGTAAAGTGTTTGAAGCGGATTTGATTTTGCATCTGTTAGTTGAATCAAAGCACTTGGCTGCTATGTAATTCAAGAGTAGTTAGTAAGTACTTAAGAATTAGTTGGATTTCTTACCTCTTCGATGTCATGGATATTTGATGAGCTTTCTTCAATCTCACTAACACCTATCGAAGAAGCTTCCGAATCCATACTGACAGCTAACATAAGCAGTTAATAACTGATTAATAACCAATTCAGAATTAATTTGGATGTTATCTATCGAGGAGATGAAATATTTAGGGAAGTAAATACAGGAAGCGAAATTCACCGGGCGTGGTACAGTATTTAAAAGGTGAGGTGCCGCGCGGCTTGTGCCAAGACCTGTGGGGCCGGCTTCCGGCGTTTCTGACCCGGCACCTGACATGTGTACTCAACAAATCTCGGGGAAGGCTGACTAATCGCCGAAGTCGGAGAGAGAAATCGGAGTGTTCCATTTTATTTGTATTCACTTTTCGGAACAAATATCTATGCTACTGGCTGTCACACATCTCACATCTAATCCTATGGCTGCTTACTTCACTTCCGGAAAGGAACTGCAGAAGGGAGAGCAGAGGGAGTGTTCTTCCGAGCATTGTGACGAATCAAGTGCTCAAAGGACGCCGCGTGCTCGACCCGAGGGGTGAAGGGCTCAAAGTCCCAGAGGTAGCCCAGGGTACGCAGAATGGAGGCAGCCGAGTACGATACAGTCTCGCCGTGACCATTTCTACCCTTCTGCTCGACCTGCGCCTTGGCAACCCAGGGGGAAATCAGCAGAGTCGGGATGCGACCACCCAGACGGTCAAAGGGGAAGGTGTAGTCCTCGCCACTGGGGGTGCTGAGGGTAAAGGTCTGGTTATCCGGACGGGGAGCGAGAGGAGCGGGGACGTGGTCGTGGAAGCCACCGCTCTCGTCGAAGGTCAGGATGAAGAGAGTCTCCCCCCACTGGGGACCGGCGCGCAGAGCATCATACACCTTCTTGATGAAAGCCTCGCCATCGGAGATCAGGCCGGCAGGATGCATGGAGGTGGTGCCGACACCGCAGCAAGAGGGGTTGATGTACGCCAATTCGGGAAGGGCACCAGCCGCAGCGTCGGTGTAGAACTTGGCCAGGGGCTGGATCTTGTCTTGGTTGTTGGTGGCATAGGTCCAGTTGAAGAAGCCTGCATCGGGGCCGGTACCGCCAGCGGGGTCGACGTAGTTGATCCACGAGTGACCGGTCTCGGTCAGCTGCTGGAAGATGGACCGCTGGGGGAACTGGTGCTTGCTAAACGCAGCGTCGTTCAGACCATGGCCGAGGGAGGTACCGGAGACCAGAGCGGCACGGTTGGGGTTGGTGTTCTGCGGAGTCAGACACATTCGTGCAAGGGATGAAGGCATGGTATACTTACACCAGGAATATCCGAATGCCAGTGGTTGAAGGTCAGGTAGTTTTGCACCAGAGAGGTCAGAACTGGGACCTGCTCTTCGGTGTAGTAGTTCATGACCTGAGCAGCGAGGATGGTCTTGTTGACCTTGGCGCCGTACTTGCGGACCTGCTCATGAACAAAGCCTTGGTTGTGAGGAACCAGCTTGCCCTCGGCGATCTGAGTGTTGTCGGGGTTGAAGGTGCCATAGAACTCGATGTTGTTGCCATAGATGGCGTGGTCGGGGTCATT